TTGTCCACATTTTCATACCAAATAGCAGGTATAAGTTTATAGTACTGCACGCTTAACTTTAAGAGGTCTAAAATTGACATGTTCCTAATTTCTCCCTTTCCCTCACAGCTTTTAAAACTCAGGTGACGCTTTAAAGCTGCAATATGTAACTTTTAGGGCGATCCTACCAAATTCACATAGAAATTTGTGTTATAGATCTGTCATTCTCATTGAAAGCAAGTCTAAGAAGCGGTAGATCTGTTCTATATGTGCTATTTCTATGCTACCCATTCTTAAGTTTCGTTTTTGTGTCTTTTACTTTTGGGTTTGTACACCAGCTTCAAACAGCTGAAAATACAATATTTTTGATATGGAAAATATATTTCGCAGCAGTTTAGATGGTACAATGGTTCTCTACACTATACTTGCTTGTTTTGTCATATAAAATAAAATTAAGCTAACTATTTGAATTTTAGCAACCAGGAAATGGTTTAACAGAGGGAAATTGGTCCGCTCACACAATTGTCTTAATTGCTCATTTGTGATTTGCTTGAGTGAAGACGAGCTAATTATTTCGGGGTTTGTGTGTGAAGTGGTCTCGGCTGTGAGGAGAATGTTTCTGTTATAAAGTGCAGCCCATTCACAGTTGGGTTCTGCAGTGGTTTGCTGGGGCTCCCGCAGTGTTCCTGCCGCTCATAGCAGCTGGTGGGGAATTTGTGTGGCTTTTAACCTTCATGGGGGGCTCAACTCATAGAGGCTTGGGGAGAAAGCCCTCTAACCAGCCTGTCTGCCTGCACTCTCTCCCTCCAGTCCAACGCATGGCGCCCTTCACCACTACTACTAAAACACCCACTTATTTGAGCTTTAAGCATGAAAACTTTAAAGGACAAAGCCTAGGTTTATGAGCCCCTACACCACCCCACCCCACTCTACTGCTCCCACTCCCTCCCTTCAGTGCATAATAACCGCGTTAAGGAAAGAAGTCCAAAGATAACTGCAGGGATTGTTATCAGTGTATTTATAACTCAACTGACACCCCACGGACAAATTCCTTCCTTTTGAAACATCTGGCCGCTGGAGCTTTAAATAAAAATGTTTTCCTTTTTAAAGATGTAGTCCGGGATCTTAAGCACTTAAACATTCTTAACATATCATACACATTTTACAAACAAATACATATATTTTTTATGCACAATTTTAGGGGACCCGTTTTGGCTTGTGAGCACTACTTTCAAAACTACTGGCTGAATTTATCCAAAAGCTCTGGAGCATCACATTAACTTCTTCAGAAAATGCTAAATGAGTACTGTGATTATTTGCTTTTGTATTACAAGTTTGCCACAAGGAATAATGTGAGGAATAGACAAATAAAGGAGGATTGTCTGTCTATAGTCTGCTCTGGACCCTTACAGACTGGTGCTAATTTTGCCTCCTGTCTGACAAATACATATGAAAGGGACTAGAGGTGGCTGAAAGTGACAGAGGCTTTTTGTGACTGTTTCGAGAGGTTACATAGAGAAGGACTTGGCTGTCTCCTCAAACAGTTTTATATTGAGTTTTATCCTGTGATTAATGGTTAGACAACGATTGACAAATGGCAGCCTAAAGTAATGGAAGAATTTCAACATCAGCTACACCATTTGGCTATAAGGCTATTACTCATCTAGACAGGAGTGTCTTTGCCAGTCCTCCTGTGTGGAAAATGTCAGTGGCACACCAGCTCTGTGATAGTCCGTGCCAGGGTTTCCGTTAGGAAAATGTGGCGCCGGACATTTGACCGGCAGCATTTTAATGTACTGGACATTTGAGAAATTTACCGGACCCATATGCATTGGGTGCGTAACCGGATTAGTGCGTCCACCCACGGTGCTCAGAATGACAAATCACATTTAGATTATGGTAATTCACATTAACAGAACATGCAAGTCAAGGATGCAATGACTATTACCCAATTCTGATGCGCACTTTGAAGATGTTAGAATAACTGTCCACATTTACTTTTCCTCAGCTAACAAGACGAGGAAGGAACAGCAAAATCACTCTAGCCTATGTCAATCTACTATCCCCCATAGTAGAAAAGTGTACCTATTCTATTGGTCAGCTTGTTGAGAAAGAAATAGCATATTCCAAACAGACTCTGGGACAGTTGTGGGACAATAGATCCCAAAATCATCCAACCAGTAGGCCTAGGCAAAATGTTATTTATATTTTTTTGAAGCAATGTGTCTGATGCCACAGATCAGAACGTTTAGCTTAAAATGTTGAACTATTATTTCTTCACATTATAAGCGTAGCAATGTGCACAAGGCAGTAGTCTACGTGTGAATTTGTTCCACAATGCAGTTAGCAGGAAATCCCTGTCGTCAAAAGCATGTGACGGAGATGAAAATATCCATTAGAAATTTTGAAAGAGGGGAGATCTAATATGCAACAACTAGCTTGGTTTGCTAATATGACTAGGATTGTGCCTTTGGCTACTGGGCAATGAAAGAAAATGTATGTCAAATAATTGCTTCCACGGATATGGTCTGATTTTGGCTAGGCTACTTTGAAGCAATGTAAGACATGCCTCATAATATGTAGTAAAACGTTAAGGTTTCAAACAATTAAGTATATGTTTTCAAAATGCATACGGCCTCCAGCTCATTGCAAAGTGGCTGATGAAGCCTGCCTTCCGTTGCCTATGCATTTGCTGTTTGAAATACTGTAACACGTGCCAATTTAATCCCTATAGACTGATAAGCATGACCAGTCAAATGGATTTACATGGACTAAAAAGCATTATTTTCGCAATGGGATTTTTTTCTTCTTCTCCTGATCAATTGGCCAGCACCAATTTTATTTATCGGCTTTTCAATTTTTTTATCGGCCAAATGCCGTCTATTTCCGGCTAATGGAAACCCTGGTTCACGTCCATTGTTGTGAAAAATAGTACTTCACAATTCCGTTTGATTAGCCTAGGTATGGTGTTGCTCACAACTAATTGGGCGGCAGGTAGCTTAGTGGTTAAGAGCGTTGTGCCAGTAACCGAAAGGTCGCTGGTTCTAATCCCCGAGCCGACTAGGTGAAAAATCTGTCGATGTGCCCTTGAGCAAGGCACTTAACCCTAATTGCTCCTGTAAGTCGCTCTGGATAAGAGCGTCTGCTAAATGACTAAAATGTAAAATGTAATTGTCCTCATGCCCTAATGTTTGTATTTGTCATCTGTCTTTCATTTGGTGTACAGCTCTGAAGAAATTTGCCACCAGAATCTTAGCAATCACAATGTATTTTACATTCACTCACTCTCTAACTCTACTCTCTCTTATGTGTAAAAACAGATTTTTTTAAATACTGAAATGTAAAGAGTTGGGGGTGTTTGAGCAAAGCTGAACAGCACCTGTTGCCTACCCACTAGCTTGATGATTAATGACTGTCTAATCAAACAGTCTTAAAAGCAGCCTGTTAATGGGCACTGTAAGCTATTCGTGCTTCAGGCAGTGTAGTACTGATCTAACAGGCAGCAAGCAAGCAAGCAGTGATACTGTTTACATATCAGCTTTGATTATGGTAGATGTGATAAAGCTTTGTGTATTATTATCCTGTGTAATGATGGGGCTTTTATAGCAGTAATTGTGTATATATATAGGGAGTGGTTATCAGTCTGTAAATTATTTTCCTTGTTGAGCATGTGTCTGGTATGGTGGCCTTGTTTAAAGGGGAAATCTGCAGTTGAAACAACAACAACAAAGGGACACCCCGACACCGTTTTGGTAAAAAGCTGAGGAATGGGGCTAGATAAATGTAACCACTCTCAAATTCATAGGCAGGGCTATGGATGCAAGGACTGACCACCAATGAGATCCAAATGATAGTTTTAACCACGTTTTAACACTATACAGTGTTTGTTTACATTTACACTGTTTTTACAAACAATGGAATTAAAACAAGCTTATCATTTGGGTTCTGATGGAGTACGACAGTTGAACTAAGCTCATGAGGCATTTATACGTTTTATTCTTCAAGAATCAATAGGTATACATAATTAATTTTAAAAGTCCACAAATGGATGTAGCAATCGCATATTGCCCCTTTACGGCTGCTCCTCCTGGCCACTGATTGAGGATGAATAAGTAACGGAAGAGGCTTGTCCATGTCTGCTGACTGATTAGGCCTCATTTGTTTAGCTGCTGATCTTCTAGAGATGTGCTGCCTCCCTCCCTCCCTCCCGCAAAGACACCCAACCCTCCCTTGCTCTGTGGCCACACTCGAAAGTTCCTGTGCATGAGCTTTAAAAAGAAAAGAGGAAGGAGGGAGCAGCGGGGGGAGGGAGAAGAGTGGGGCAAGGGTTGAGGGTGGTCGTCATGGATTCCTCACCATAGCAACTGGCAAACGTTTACAAAGCATTAAAGAATTTCCTCATATCAGCTGGATTATTGGAGCCCCCAGAGAACGGCTCTCATTTGAAACAAATGCTGGATATCATCAGGACCCTGGCGGTGCTAGGAGCAGCACTGCCATTTTTTTGGAGAGGCTGTGGAAGTTTTTTTTCCTTAACCCCCTTGCAGTTCCATTCTTCCCTACAACCCCTCCCTCTCTTTCTCTCTCTAAAAGAGAGAGCCTTTGTGTCACTCCATTTTTAGCTCTCCTCACTCCCTTTTGCCATGCGGTGCACATTTTCACCCAATGTTAGTCAGAGTTTGGGGTACCAGTAAGTCCTGACAATACTCACAACAATGGTTTTCACCATAACTTTTCCACCTGCTTCCTTCCTAGCAGCTGGACTAATACTAAGTAGCAGTTTGCTGCTGGCTTTACCAGGGTTGTTAATATTCCAGTGATAAATGCCAGAGGTGAGGTGACTTGGACCCCCTTCATGGCAGCACATGTGCAGGCCTGGCTCTGAGTGGGAATGCATTCTGACTGTTCTCCTGTCCTGTCTGACAAGGCTGCGCGTCTTGACTATTCTCTTGTATGTCCTTGTGCTCAATCCCACTCCTCTTCCCTCTCTCCTCCTCCTCTCATCCCGCTCTGCCCTGTAGGGTCCCAGCATGCAGAGTTCAGAGGGAGGGTCCGATTCGACGTCCAGTGTGGCGCTGCGTACGTCCACCTCCACCCAGGCCCCTGTGGTGCAGCCCGTCCCAGCCTCACAACAGGTACACTACTACACAAAACCAGGCTGCACTCCCTCACATGCAGCGCAGTGGTCTATCTCACTCAACCACAACACTCTTCCTCACAGCACTCACCCCACTACTAACAACACAGAACTCTACATTTCACCTTTATTTAACCAGGTAAGCCAGTTGAGAACAAGTTCTCATTTACAACATTGACCTGGCCAAGATAAAGCAAAGCAGTGCGATAAAAACAACACAGAGTTACATATGGGATAAACAAAACGTACAGTCAAAAACAAAAAATTGAAAATCTATCTACAGTGTGTGCAAATGTAGTAAGTTATGGAGGTAAGGCAATAAATAGGCCATAGTGCAAAATAATTACAATTTAGTATTAACACTGGAGTGATAAATGTGCAGAAGATGATGTGCAAATAGAGATACTGGGGTGCAAATTAGCAAAATAAATAACAATATGGGGATGAGGTAGTTGGGTGGGCTAATTACAGCTGGGCTGTGTACAGGTGCAGTGATCGGTAAGCTGCTCTGACAACTGATGCTTAAAGTTAGTGAGGGAGATAAGAGTCTCCAGCTTCAGAGATTTTTGCAGTTCGTTCCAGTCATTGGCAGCAGAGAACTGGAAGGAAGGAGATTTAACTTTGGATTGGAGATGCTTAATGTGAGTCTGGAAGGAGAGTTTACGGTCTAACCAGACACCTAGGTATTTGTAGTTGTCCACATATTCTAAGTCAGACCCGCCGAGAAGGTACGGTGGGATTCGAAATGGTCGGTGATCTGTTTGTTAACTTGGCTTTCAAATACTTTCGAAAGGCAGGGCAGGATGGATATAGGTCTTTAACAGTTTGAATCTAGGGAGTGTCACCCCCTTTTGAAGAGGGGGATGACCGTGGCAGCTTTCCAATCTCTGGGGATCTCAGACAATACGAAAGAGAGGTTGAACAGGCTAGTAATAGGGGTTGTGACAATTTCGTCTGCAAATTTTAGAAAGAAAGGGTCCAGATTGTCTAGCCCAGCTGATTTGTAGGGGTCCAGATTTTGCAGCTCTTTCAGAACATCAGCTGTCTGAATTTGGGTGAAGGAGAAGCAGGGGGGTCATGGGCAAGTTGCAGCGGAGGGTGCAGAGCTGGTGGCTGGGGTAGGGGTAGCCAGGTGTTTTTCCACATCAGAGTACTCGCTCACAAACATGATATTCTCCCAATGGGAGCCAAACCCCTCTCACACCCATGCACTGGGGAAGAGCAGCAGAATTCTCAAAAACCTGTTGATTTCATTAATAATGTATCATGACAGATTCCAGATTTATTACACTTCAGAGCAATCCTTTAATGTGAATGTATTTCCTGTATAGTAAGAACCACATACAGTGCCTTCAGAAAGTATTCACACCCCTTTACTGTTTCCACATTTTGTTGTTACAGCCTGAAGTTAAAATGGATTACATTTAGATTTTGTGTCACTGATCTACACACACAACACCCCATAATGCCAAAGTGGAATGCTTGTAGAAATTTTTCAAAATGTATACAAAATGAAAAACTGAAATGTCTTGAGTTAATAAGTATTCAACCCCTTTGTTATGGCAAGCCTAAATAAGTTCAGGAGTAAAAATGTACTTAACAAATCGCATAATAAATTGCATGGACTCATTCTGTGTTCAATAATAGTGGTTAACATTATTTCTTACATCTGTAAGGTCCCTCAATCGAGTAGTGAATTTCAAGCACAGATTCAACCACACAGACCAGGGAGGTTTTTACAATGCTTTGAAACAAAGGGCACCCACTGATTAATAAAATAAAAAATAATTTAAAATATAGGCAGACGCTGAATATCCCTTTGAGCATGGTGAGTAGGCTTTGGATGGTGTATCAATACACCCAGTCACTACAAAGATACAGGCGTCCTTCCTAACTCAGTTGCTGGAGAGGAAGAAAACTGCTCAGGGATTTCACCATGAGGCCAATGGTGATTTTAAAACGGTTACAGAGTTTAATGGTTGTGATATGAGAACTGAGGATGGGTCAACAACATTGTAGTTACTCCACAATACTAACCTAAATGACAAAGTGAAAAGAAGGAAGCCTGTACAGAATAAAACTATTCCAAAACATGCATCCGGTTTGCATCAAGGCACATGGCAAAAAAGAAAAAAAATTGTCCTGAATAAAAAAGGGTTATGTTTGGGGCAAATTTTCAAACACGGTGGTGGCTGCATCATGTTATGGGTATACTTGTCATCAGAAAGGACTAGGGAATTTTTTTTTTTGGATATAAAGAAACAGAATACAGCTAAGCATAGGCAAAATCCTAGAGGAAAACCTGGTTCAGTCTTCTTTCCAACAGACACTGGGAGATGACTTCACCTTTCAGCAGGACAATAACCTAAAACACAAGGCCAAATCTACACTGGAGTTGAAGAATTTTGAAAAGAATAATGGGCAAATATTGTACAATCCAGGTGTGCAAAGCTTTGAGACTTACCGAAAAAGTCTCACAGCTGTAATTGTTGCCAAAGGTGTTTCTAACACGTATTGGCTCAGGGGTATGAATACTTATCTAATCAAGATATATTAGTGTTTTATTTTTCTTAAATGTAATAATTTTTCTTCCACTTTGACATGAGTATTTTGTGTAGATCGTTGACCAAAAATGACTATTTAATCCCACTTTGTAACACAACAAAATGTGGAAAAAGTCAAGGGGTGTGAATACTTTGTGAAGGCACCATAAATATATCAACAATAATATAATAATATGTCATTTAGCAGACGCTTTTATCCAAAGCGACTTACAGTCATGCGTGCATACGTTTTTACGTATGCACGCAAGCATTAGCCTACATGTAGATAAAGGCATCATAAATAATTTGATACCATGTTGTTGTGTGTGATCAGGCATGAGTTTCTGATTAGTACAAGTAGGACCTATAACCTTGTATTGCCACAGCTGTTCAACGTTCTGAGAAAAGGACATTGGTCGACGAGAGAATCCATAGAAACCAAGCAGTAAATATCCTTATGTTAATATTTTTGGATAGCGCATCATATTTGCCTTGACAGCTGGCTATGCTTGAGAGAAGCCAGTTCTGAACTGAAGGCCTATACTACACCGCAGTCTGCCACTGACATATCTCAGGCTTTTAGAGAAAACTAATGGTATTTATTTTTGTTGTCATGTAAACAAATCTCAATTTAACATTCCCCTAAAGAGGGAAACCAGGAGTGGTCATCAGCGACCGCCAAAGAAAAACGCTGGCCCCAAATAAACATACAGCTTTTATCCACTTGCTGCTTTCTGGACCCGGTTTTAGCCCTTGCTTTTTTCTCTTCTATTGTTACCTCTATGTCTGATAAACATGCCCCGCTTAAGAATCACAGAGTAAGAAACCGAACCAGTTCTTGGTTCTCTCCTGAATTGTCAGGTCTTTTTCTGCAAAAGAATTGGGCCTGGGCCTTGGCGAGGAAAACAGGTACTCCAGCTGATTGGCTGTTTTTTAGGCAATTGAGAAATAAATGTACTGCAGCTCTCAAAAAGGCAAAATCAAATTACTTCCTTAATGCTATGACAGATTCTGCAGGAGATCCTGCAAAATTCTGGAAAACCGTTAATTCACTGAAACTGGGGAATTCTGCTGTTTCTCTTCCTAAGCAAATTATCTCAGACTCCTGTATTCTAAGTGAAAAAAATGATATTTGTGATGCTTTTAATAAGCGTTTCATCTCTGCTGGTTTTTTATTTGAAAAGAAAAGTGGCCATTGTGGTACTGGCCAGTTAGTTGATTTTTCGTCTTGCTTTTCAACCGTTACTCTGAAAAATGGTAACCCTGTTTTTAGTTTCCAGAAAATAACTGAAGCAGAGGTTCTAGCTGCCCTGTGTGCCATTGATACTAAGAAATCCTTAGGCGCTGACAATTTAGACCCGTACTTACTTAAGTGTGCTGCACCTATCATTGCTGGTTCAGTGACACACATTTTTAATCTAACATTAAGCACAGGAAATATCCCTAAGGTGTGGAAAGCAGCTTTTGTTCTGCCATTACATAAGGGAGGTGACGATAGTGATTTGGATAACTATCGACCCATCTCTAGGCTCCCTTGTCTGGCAAAGATCCTAGAATCTATAGTCAACAAACAGTTACAATATTTTCTTTCTGTTAACAGTATTTTTAGCACCAATCAATCTGGTTTTAGATCTAAACACAGTACCACATCGGCCACTATGCTTGTTGTAAATGATATTTCAAATGCCTTAGATGATAGAAAGCACTGTGCTGCGTTGTTTGTAGATTTGTCAAAAGCTTTTGACACAGTAGACCATGCTATCCTTTTGAGTAAGCTGTCATCTATAGGACTGGGCACTGATGCCTGTCGATGGTTTTATGACTATCTTAAAGATAGAACTCAGGCCGTCATGGTCGACGGGGTCAAGTCTGACCCCTTACAGTTACTTAAAGGGGTCCCTCAGGGTTCAATAATTGGCCCACTATTGTTCTCACTTTATATAAACAACATTGGTGATGATATCAGATATTGTAAATTCCATTTATATGCTGATGTCACAGTGATGTACTCTATTGCTCCAACAGCGGACCAAGCTTTAATGCAGTTGGAGTCTGATTTTAGGATACTACAGGGGTCTCTTTTACAGCTTAAACTTGTTTTAAACGCTAAGAAAACAAATGTCATGTTTTTTTCTAGGTCTAAACTCTCAATTAGAAACACTTTGTAATCACTAGCTTGGATGGTACTCAAATCAAACAGGTCTCTGCATATAAATACTTAGGGGTATGGTTAGATGATAGGCTTTCTGTTAAAAAACATGTTACTGAATTGGGAAAAAAGCTCAAATTCAAGATAGGGTTCCTTTACAGAAACAGGGCTTGTCTGTCCTCCGTAAATAGAAAACAAATTGTGCAGGCTACTTTTATGTCCGTTTTAGAATATGGTGATATTATCTATATGCATGCATCGGCAAACACATTAAAACCACTGCATGCTATTTACCATTGTGCACTCAGGTTTATCACGGGTGATAGTTACAAAACTCATCACTGTTTCCTATATCAACATGTGGGTTGGGCCTCTCTATCTGTGAGGCGAGAGCAACATGCTCTCTTGTTTATTTATAAAGCACCTCCATATATATCATCATTAATTTCCACTAGATATATTAATTTTAAAACCAGATCACAGATGTGGATTACATTAGAGACTCCTGTGGTCTCCACAGAGTTGGGTAGGACTGCCTTCAGTTCCTTTGCACCTTATTTATGGAACAAACTGCAGATCCAGCTTAAGTTAGACACTCTGGTGTCCCTTGCCCATTTTAAAAATGTTATGGAGGATCAATATGATGTTGTCTGTGATTGTTTCTGTTGAATTGTGTTTTTGTTTTGTATGTTTGAAATGTTCTTGTCTGTATGTCTAAAACTGTACATGTCAACATGTTTACACAGGGCACAGCCTTAAAAGAGATCCAGGTCTCAGTCTGTTTTTCCCTGTTAAAATAAAGATTACAAAAAAAATAATAAAAAAAAAATGTGTGGGTCGCCTGTAATTACTGAAAGCCTAGAATGGGCCGACACAAAAATGTGTTTGCTGGGAAGCTGCACTGCTGCTGGATTGGATAGCATCATCTTTCCCACCAGCATTCATTTCATATTTGTGTTGAAGTTGACAGAATAAAGGTTTTGCACAAGCCACAATGCACATAAGGAAGGATATTATATCAAAAGTCATGTAGAAAATCCAGTCAAATTCCCTGTTTCTTCTGTGATTCTCTGATGCTCTTTAGGGGCTTAGGGATTGTAGTTGAATATTTTTTTTTCTAAATAGGCATAGTCTGTGTGTGGGCATTTTATGTGCTTACCAATAATGGTGCGTTTCCTCTCCCTCCAGAGGGTGCTGGTTCAGGCCACAGGATCGGCCCAGAAGGGAGCGCAGGTGCAGCAGCTGTCAGTCCCTCGGGTGCAACAGGTCCCTCAGCAGGTACACACTGTCTCCTCCTCACCCCTCCTTCCTTCTCCCCAGCACCCAGGACACTCAGTCAGTATAGCTTTAGCCACATGCACAGAGCATGGCTCCATTCACAGTAGCATCAGACATATTGATACCGATTACATTCTCCACTGTATTGTAAGCTTTCTTTCTGGAATGGTATGGGTTTCTAACTGTTAGATCTCAATTAGATGTGCTTCAAGTGCTCAGCAGGGATTTTCTTTTTTCACAGTTTGACACTTTGGTCTCACTGCCACCTACTGACAGCACTGCGTTAAGATATGATCAAGATTATGATTATGCAAGACATGAGTTACATTGAAGGTTTCTTCTGATTCATAACAAGCATAGATATCCTATCTAATTTCAAGGAATGAGAAACAGCCTAGAGGTGGATACTCCCTCTTGATAATAGTGCTCAAAGGTTGATTCATGGGTTTCTCTCTCTCTGCATAGGTTCAGCAGGTCCAGCATGTTTACCCCTCCCAGGTTCAATATGTAGGAGAGGGGGGAGAGGCAGTTTACACTAATGGAACCATGTAAGTACTGCAGTGCTCTTCATTTAAGGCAAAGGAACGTGTTCCAGACACCTTTAAAATGCTTCTAAATAGAATACCATTAAAGCTAATAGAACACTTAATGTGAGATTGTATATGTGTAATTAGGGTTGCAAAGCTACCGGTAATTTACCAAAGTTACTGGAATCTTCATTAATTCTGGTAATTAAAACCCTTTCCTGCAGTCAAATGACCAAATCGGCCCTCTAGTGGCCTCATGGGTGGAATGTTATTAATATTTTTCATAATTAATCAACATTATTTCAATAAACCCACCGAAAATCCAGTGTTACTATGTCAAAAAAGTCTGGTAGCACAACCGATTGGCAAACGTACTGCAAATTGAGAAATAAGAATCTATACTATGAAACAAAGATAAATAATATATAGAATGATAGTAAAAAGTTTTGGAGCACCTTAAATTACATTTTGGGCAAAAAGGCAAACTCCGCTCCATCATTCATTGAATCAGATGACTCATTCATTACAAAACCCACTGATATTGCCAACTACTTTAATGATTTTTTTTGCATTGGCAAGATTATCTAATTTAGGTGTAACATGCCAGCAACAAACGCTGACACTACACATCCAAGTCTATCTGACAAAATTATGAAAGACAAGCATTGTAATTTAGAATTCCGTAAAGTCGGTGTGGAAGAGGTGAAAGAATTGTTGTCTATCAACAATTACAAGCCACCGGGGTCTGACAACTTGGATGGAAAATGAGAATAATAGCGGATGATATTGACACTCCTATTTGTCATATCTTCAATTTAAGCCTAGTAGAAAGTGTGTGCCCTTAGGCCTGGAGGGAAGCAAAAGTCATTCCGCTACCTAAGAATAGTAAAGCCCCCTTTACTGACTCAAATAGCCGACCAATCAGCCTGTTACCAACCCTTAGTAAACTTTTGGGAAAAATTGTGTTTGACAACATACAATGCTATTTTACAGTAAACTATTTGACAACAGACTTTCAGCACGCTTATAGGGAAGGACATTCAACAAGCACAGCACAAATGACTGATGATTGCCTGAGAGAAATTGATGATAAAAAGATTGTGGGGACTGTTTTGTTAGACTTCAGTGCGGCTTTTGACATTATCAATCATAGTATGCTGCTGGAAAAACGTATGTGTTATGGCTTTACACCCCCTACTATATTGTGGATAAAGAGTTACCTGTCTAACAGAACACAGAGGGTGTTCTTTAATGGAAGCCTCTCCAACATAATCCAGGTAGAATCAGGAATTCCCCAGGGCAGCTGTCTAGGCCCCTTACTTTTTTCAATCTTTACTAATGAGTAAAGCCAGTGTGTCTATGTATGCGGATGACTCAACACTATACACATCAGCTACTGAAATGACTGCAACACTTAACATAAGCTGCAGTTAGTTTCAGAATGGGTGGCAAAGTTTCAGAATGGGTGGCAAGGAATAAGTTAGTCCTAAATATTAAAAAAACTAAAAGCATTGTATTTGGGACAAATCATTCACTAAACCCTAAACCTCAACTAAACCTTGTAATGAATAATGTGGAAATTGAGCAAGTTGAGGTGACTAAACTGCTTGGAGTAATCCTGGATTGTAAACTGTCATGGTCAAAACATGTTCATACAACAGTAGCTAAGATGGGGAGAAGTCTGTCCATAATAAAGCGCTGCTCTGCCTTCTTAACAACACTATCAACAAGGCAGGTCCTACAGGCCCTAGTTTTGTCGCACCTGGACTACTGTTCAGTCGTGTGGTCAGGTGCCACAAAGAGGGACTTAGGAAAATTACAATTGACTCAGAACAGGGCAGCACGGCTGGCCTTAAATGTGCATGGGGCGTTAACATTAATTATATGCAATCTCTCATGACTCAAAGTGGAGGAGAGATTGACTTCATCACTACTTGTTTTTGTAAGAAGTGTTGACAAGCTGAATGCACCAAGCTGTCTGTTTAAACTACTAGCACACAGCTCGGCCACCCATGCATACCCCACAAGACATGCCACCAGAGGTCTCTTCACAATCCCCAAGTCCAGAACGGACTATGGAAGGCGCACAGTACTACATAGAGCCATGACTACATGGAACTCTATTCCACATCAGGTACCTGATGCAAGCAGTAGAATCATTTAATCCAATTGGATGATAACTTGTTTTTAACTAGGACAGAGGAATTTATAACTTATTTTTTCAGACATAACATAGGTACAGCACAAATCCCCTTATTGTATGGGACACCTTTAAATGTGCCTTTAGAGGCCATGCAATTCAGTACTCATCTCGAAAACAAAATCAATTTAGGTCAAAAGAGTCCACACTAACAAAGGAAATAGAAGGTCTAACCGAACAGATAGATAGCAATAAAAACTGTAACATAGAGGCTCAGAATAAATTAGAGGGAAAAAATAAATAAATGGAGAAACTTATTCAAGAAAGATCAAGTGTAATATATTATAAAAATTAAGCAAACTGGATGGAATATGGGGAAGAATGCACAGTTCTTTTTTAATCTTCAACATAGGAATGCTACCTAAAATAATTTATTGAAACTGATTACAAATGACGGAGTCACCCATGATTCACCAAATGATATTTTGAAGGAGGAAACAAAGTATTTTAAGCACATGTTTTCGTTTCAGTCGCCTCCATTTTCTCTAACTGAAGCAAATTGTAGAGATTTTTTCCCTATTGATAATGTAAAATTAATAGCCATACAGAAAGACTCATGTGAAGGTGAAATTACAGAGGAGGAACTTCTGGATGCAATTAAAGACTAAAGTCCGGTAAAACTCCAGGGTTGGATGGCATACCAGTCGAGGTATACCAAACCTTTTTTGATATACACAGAGGACCGTTATTAGCATGTTTTAACCACTCCTATGTAAATGGTAGATTATCCGACACTCAAGAAGGTCTGATTTCATTATTACTGAAACAGGATACTAGTGGAAAATATAAAGATCCAGTCCATTAAAAAAATTGGCGGCCCCTTACACTTCAGTGTTGTGATGCAAAAATTATAGCAAAATGTATAGCACATTAGAATTAAAAAGGTAATGTCGGACATTATTCATTCTAATCAGACAGGTTTTTTACATGGGGCGATACATTGGAGATAATATAAGGCAAGTACTGGAAACAATAGAACATTGAAAAATCTGGGAAACCAGGCCTACTATTAATAGCAGACTTCGAAAAGGCATTTGATAAAGTACAACTGGGGTTTATATATAAATGCCTGGAGCATTTCAATTTTGGACAATCTCTTATAAATTGGGTTAAAATCATGTATAGTAACCCTAGGTGTAAAATAGTAAATAATGGCTATTTCTCAGAAAGTTTTAAACTGTCAAGAGGAGTGAAATGAGGTTGTCCACTATCGGCATATCTATTTATTATTGCCATCGAGATGTTAGCTATTAAAATCAGATCCAACAATAATATCAAGGGATTAGAAATCCAGGGCTTAAAAACGAAGGTGTCATTGTACGCTGATGATTCATGTTTTCTTTTACAGTGGGGAAAAAAAGTATTTAGTCAGCCACCAATTGTGCAAGTTCTCCAACTTAACAAGATGAGAGAGGCCTGTAATTTTCATCATAGGTACACGTCAACTATGACAGACACATAGAGATTTTTTTTCTCCAGAAAATCGCATTGTAGGATTTTTTATGAATTTATTTGCAAATTATGGTGGAAAATAAGTATTTGGTCACCTACAAACAAGCAAGATTTCTGGCTCTCACAGACCTGTAACTTCTTCTTTAAGAGGCTCCTCTGTCCTCCACTCGTTACCTGTATTAATGGCACCTGTTTGAACTTGTTATCAGTATAAAAGACACCTGTCCACAACCTCAAACAGTCACACTCCAAACTCCACTATGGCCAAGACCAAAGAGCTGTCAAAGGACACCAGAAACAAAATTGTAGACCTGCACCAGGCTGGGAAGACTGAATCTGCAATAGGTAAGCAGCTTGGTTTGAAGAAATCAACTGTGGGAGCAATTATTAGGAAATGGAAGACATACAAGACCACTGATAATCTCCCTCGATCTGGGGCTCCACGCAAGATCTCACCCCGTGGGGTCAAAATGATCACAAGAACGGTGAACAAAAATCCCAGAACCACACGGGGGGACCGAGTGAATGACCTGCAGAGCGCTGGGACCAAAGTAACAAAGCCTACCATCAGTAACACACTACGCTGCCAGGGACTCAAATCCTGCAGTGCCAGACGTGTCCCCCTGCTTAAGCCAGTATATGTCCAGGCCCGTCTGAAGTTTGCTAGAGTGCATTTGGATGATCCAGAAGAGGATTGGGAGAATGTCATATGGTCAGACGAAACCAAAATAGAACTTTTTGGTAAAAACTCAACTCGTCGTGTTTGGAGGACAAAGAATGCTGAGTTGTTTTGTTATTGACCAAAGACTTATTTTCCACCATCATTTGCAAATAAATTCATAAAAAATCCTACAATGTGATTTTCTGGAGAAAAAAAATCTCAATTTGTCTGTCATAGTTGACGTGTACCTATGATGAAAATTACAGGCCTCTCTCATCTTTTTAAATGGGAGAACTTGCACAATTGGTGGCTGACTAAATACTTTTTTCCCCCACTGTAAAATCCTTAAAAGATACCAAATTCTGGTAGTTTACTGGTAAACTTTGAACGTTTCCAGTAATATACAGTGCCTTCCACATTTTGTTGTGTTACAGCCTGAATTCAAAATTGATTCACATTTTTTTTTCTCACCCATCTACACACAATACCCCATAATGATAAAGTGAAAACATGTTTTTAGAAAATGTGGCAAATTTATTGAAAATGAAATACACATATCCAATTTACATAAGTATTCACACCCCTGAGTCAATACTTTGTAGAAGCACCTTTGGCAGTGATTACAGTTGAGTCTTTCAACGCCAGGGTTGTGGGTTCGATTCCCACGGGGGGGCAGTATGATTATTATTTTTATTTTTTATGTATGCACTCACTAACTGTAAGTCGCTCTGGATAAGAGTGTCTGCTAAATGACTAAAATGTAAATGAATCTAACGGTTTCTTGTTGTATTTGTTGCAATTTAATCAATTAATGTTACCACACTATTTTGTTAATGTAGGCCTATGAAGCACTGTTGGCCAACTGGTACAACATTAGGCCTATGTTATTACAATCTAGTGAAAACTACATTAGCTTTAGCCCTTTGACCGAAATATGCAGTTTAGTCCTTTTCTCTTTGAAGGTTGTGGGCGTTTTTTTACTTTATGATAACCCTCTTATTGTGGGGATTTTGTCAGAGGGAACAAAGTCTACATATCTGATTCTCCGCTAATCAAATAGATAAGCAGTAGCGGAGATTCAGCACCATGGACAGCACTGCGGTTGATCAATTGCCCGCGAATCTAAACCCGCCGTGAATTATGTGCCAATCTAAGGTAGGCTTACATGAAAGAAAAGAGAAAACCGCACACTGCTCTTGCTAGTATCACTGTTCTTTATTAAGCTACGTATCGGTCTCAAAGCCTTTGTCACTTATGTAGACATTGCTCCACCCACATCCGTTCAGTGCATCGAATGGGGTTGGAGTCAAGGACAAATAAAAATGTGTTACCAAATATAACAATGTGCATTTCATAAATATTCAAATAAAGTATGTACATAAAACATATTAAACACGTCTGTAAAACCACAATGAGGACATCAACCTATCAAGCAAGTTTTCATGAATCATTGGGTACAGTTCAGGATAAAAACATCAGAGTAGGCTGAAGTGGTTTTAATGACAAGGCATTAGTTCATGTTAGGGTTGAATATTTTCCCGGTATTTTACAAATGTTCCATCCCAAGAATAAATCACTTTTCTCCTGGGTCACCCGGTATTTTCCGCCAAAACCGGAAGTGTCATTCAAAAGTATAATAAAGCATATAAATATGTCTGGATTTGATTAGAGCTTTGATCAGCATGAAAATTCAAACTTGATGCTACCTGATCCTGATGAGCCATATATTAAATACATTTTATGAGCCCTACATTAACGACATTTGATGAGCCCAAACCCAAAAAAGCCCAAATGATTGTGCCATTATCCAATACATATATGATATAGGCTACTGCACATTTCGCACGACAGAAAAACACAAAAGCACATAGATGTAGCTAGCTATATGCTCTCTTGGGTAAATAAATGAAACTAGCTCCAGTAAGCTAATCTTTTTGAGTGTGAACTGTATTACTTTATTGTATTACAGTGGGGGAAAAAAGTATTTAGTCAGCCACCAATTGTGCAAGTTCTCCCACTTAAAAAGATGAGAGAGGCCTGTAATTTTCATCATATGTACACGTCAACTATGACAGACAAAATGAGGAAAAAAAATCCAGAAAATCACATTGTAGGATTTTTTATGAATTTATTTGCAAATTATGGTGGAAAATAAGTATTTGGTCAATAACAAAAGTTTCTCAATACTTTGTTATATACCCTTTGTTGGCAATGACACAGGTCAAACGTTTTCTGTAAGTCTTCACAAGGTTTTCACACACTGTTGCTGGTATTTTGGCCCATTCCTCCATGTTGATCTCCTCTAGAGCAGTGATGTTTTGGGGCTGTCGCTGGGCAACACGGACTTTCAACTCCCTCCAAAGATTTTCTATGGGGTTGAGATCTGGAGACTGGCTAGGCCACTCCAGGACCTTGAAATGCTTCTTACGAAGCCACTCCTTCGTTGCCCGGGCGGTGTGTTTGGGATCATTGTCATGCTGAAAGACCCAGCCACGTTTCATCTTCAATGCCCTTGCTGATGGAAGGAGGTTTTCACTCAAAATCTCACGATACATGGCCCCATTCATTCTTTCCTTTACACGGATCAGTCGTCCTGGTCCCTTTGCAGAAAAACAGCCCCAAAGCATGATGTTTCCATCCCCAAGCTTCACAGTAGGTATGGTGTTCTTTGGATGCAACTCAGCATTCTTTGTCCTCCAAACACGACGAGTTGAGTTTTTACCAAAAAGTTATATTTTGGTTTCGTCTGACCATATGACATTCTCCCAATCCTCTTCTGGATCATCCAAATGCACTCTAGCAAACTTCAGACGGGCCTGGACATGTACTGGCTTAAGCAGGGGTACACGTCTGGCACTGCAGGATTTGAGTCCCTGGCGGCGTAGTGTGTTACTGATGGTAGGCTTTGTTACTTTGGTCCCAGCTCTCTGCAGGTCATTCACTAGGTCCCCCCGTGTGGTTCTGGGATTTTTGCTCACCGTTCTTGTGATCATTTTGACCCCACGGGGTGAGATCTTGCGTGGAGCCCCAGATCGAGGGAGATTATCAGTGGTCTTTATATGTCTTCTATTTCCTAATAATTGCTCCCACAGTTGATTTCTTCAAACCAAGCTGCTTACCTATTGCAGATTCAGTCTTCCCAGCCTGGTGCAGGTCTACAATTTTGTTTCTGGTGTCCTTTGACAGCTCTTTGGTCTTGGCCATAGTGGAGTTTGGAGTGTGACTGTTTGAGGTTGTGGACAGGTGTCTTTTATACTGATAACAAGTTCAAACAGGTGCCATTAATACAGGTAACGAGTGGAGGACAGAGGAGCCTCTTAAAGAAGAAGTTACAGGTCTGTGAGAGCCAGAAATCTTGCTTGTTTGTAGGTGACCAAATACTTATTTTCCACCATAATTTGCAAATAAATTCATTACAAATCCTACAATGTGATTTTTTGGATTTTCTTTTCTCAATTTGTCTGTCATAGTTGACGTGTACATATGATGAAAATTACAGGCCTCTCTCATCTTTTTAAGTGGGAGAACTTGCACAATTGGTGGCTGACTAAATACTTTTTTTCCCCACTGTATATGGACTGGAATTACGCATGTCGTTCAAACCATGATAAAGCAAACAAGAACATGCGATTCTGGGGCAGCACATGCGGCCTACAAAGTTACAAGTGTAGGCTAGCGAATTTGATTTTAATTTTGAAATATAAAAGGGCTTTCGGAAAGTATTTAGACCCCTTGACTTTTCCCACATTTTGTTACGTTACAGCCTTATTCTAAAATGGATTCAATTGTTTTTTCCCCCTCATCAATCTACACACAATACCCCATAATGACAAAGCAAAAACGGGTTTTTAGCAAATGTATAAAATAAAAAAAACGGAAATATTACATTTACATAAGTATTCAGACCCTTTACTTAGTACTTTGTTGAAGCACCTTTGGCAGCGATTACAGCCTCGAGTCTTCTTGGGTATGACGCTACAAGCTTGGCACACCTGTATTTGGGGAGTTTCTCCCATTCTTCTCTGCAGATCCTCTCAAGCTCTATCTGGTTGGATAGGGAGCGTCACTGCACAGCTATTTTCAGGTCTCTCCAGAGATGTTGGATTGGGTTAAAGTCCAGGCTCTGGCTGGGCCACTCAAGGACATTCAGAGACTTGTACCGAAGCCACTCCTGCACTGTCTTGGCTGTGTGCTTATGGTCGTTGTCCTGTTGGAAGGTGAACCTTCACCCCAGTCTGAGATCCTGAGCGCTCTGGAGAAGGTTTTCATCAAGGATCTCTCTGTACTTTGCTCCGTTCATCTTTCTCTCGATCCTGACTAGTCTCCCAGTCCCTGCCGCTGAAAAACATCCCCACAGCATGATGCGTCCACCACCATGCTTCACCGTAGGGATAGTGCCTCGTTTCCTACAGACGTGACGCTTGGCATTCAGGCCAAAGAGTTCAATCTTGGTTTCATCAGACCAGAGAATCTTATTTCTTATGGTCAGAGTCCTTTAGGTGCCTTTTGGAAAACTCCAAGTGGGCTGTCATGTGCCTACTACTGAAGAGTGGCTTTCGTCTACCATAAAGGCCTGATTGGTGGAGTGCTGCAGAGATGGTTGTTCTTCTGGAAGGTTCTCCCATCTCCACAGAGGAACTCTGGAGCGCTGTCAGAGTGACCATCAGGTTCTTGGTCACTTCCCTGACCAAGACCCTTCGCCTCCGATTGCTCAGTTTGGCCGGGGGGGCAGCTCTAGGAAGAGTCTTGGTGGTTCTAAACTTCTTCCATTTAAGAATGATTTTTATTTGGTACTCTTCCCCAGATCTGTGCCTCGACAGCATCCTATCTTGGAGCTCTATGGACATCTTGGCTTGGTTTTTGCTCTGACGTGCACTGTCATCTGTGGGACCTTTTTATAGACAGGTGTGTGCCTTTCCAAATCATGTCCAATCAATTGAATTTACCACAGGTGGACTCAAATCAAGTTGTAGAAACATCTCAAGGATGATCAATGGAATCAGGATGCACCTGAGCTCAATTTTGAGTCTCATAGCAAAGGGTCTGAATACTTATGTAAATGAGGTATTTCTGTTTTTAAAAATGAGCATAAATGGCCTAAAAGTTATTTTCACTTTGTCATTATGGGGTATTGTTTGTAGATTGATGAGGAACATTTTTTATTTAATCCATTTCAGAATAAGGCTGTAATGTAACAAAATGTGGAAAAAGTGAAGGGGTCTGAATACTTTCCGAATGTACTGTATATAGCCTACCTTTCATAATATTTCTCTCTATTGTTGCTTCATTCCTTCCTCGCTTTCAACAGTTAAATGAAATACATTTTGTTGTCCTATCATTCTAATGACCTCCTTGAATAATATAGGACTAGAATTAGATGCAGAAAGCTTTCACTTCTCTTCATGAAGGTTGAATGGTTGTGGGTCTGAATAAATAACTGCTATAGCCTACTTTTCCTCCTTTTCCATCTTTCAAATAAGTTAGTATTGTGGAGTAACTACAATGTTGTTGATCCATCCACAGTTTTCTCCTATCACAGCCATTAAACTGTTTTAAAGTCACAATTGGCCTCATGTTGAAATCCCTGAGCGGTTTCCTTCCTCTCCGGCAACTGAGTTAGGAAGGACGCCTGTATCTTTGTAGTGACTGGGTGTATTGATACACCATCCAAAGTGTAATTAATAACTTCACCATGCTTAAAGGGATATTCAATGTCAGCTTTTTTTTTTTTTTTTTTTTACCCATCTACCAGTAGGTGCCCTTCTTTGTGAGGCATTGGAACACCTCCCTGGTTGAATCTGTGTTTTGAAATTCTCTACTTGACTGAGGGACCTTACAGATAATTGTATGTGTGGGGTACAGAGATGAGGTAGTCATTCTAAAATCATGTTAAACACTATGATTGCACACAGAGTGAGTCCATGCGACTTATTATGTGACATGTTAAGCACATTTTTACTACTGAACTAATTTTTGACTTGCCATAACAAAGGGCTAGAATACTTATTGACTCAAGACATTTCAGATTTTAATTTGAAAATTAAAAATAAACAAATTTCCACTTTGATATTATGGGGTATTGTATGTAGGCCAGTGACCAAAAAAATCTAAATTTAAGCCATTTAAAATTCTGTCTGTAACACAACAAAATGTGGAAAAATTCAAGGCACAGTACCCTCTCTTTGCAACCCTAAGGTAATACTATAATAGAAACATAAGCTAAGTGATGTAATGTTACAGTATGTGATTGTTTCACTCTGTATAGATCTGTCATGCCTTTACCTTATGGCACCTCTCTCCCCAGCCGGACAGCCTACTCCTATAACCCTGAGGCCCAGCTGTATGGACAAGGTAGTGGAGGAGCCTACTTTGACTCTCAGGGTGGGGGTGCCCAGGTCACCACGGTGGTCTCTTCGGCCGGCGGCGGGCCGCCCCACGGTATGGTGGGCATCACCATGGATGTGGGCGGCAGTCAGATCATCTCTGGCGGCAGCACCTACCTGATCCACGGCGGGGGCATGGATGGGGGTCGCCACCACGCCTCACACTCCTCCCGCTCCTCCTCTGCTATGGTGAGCACCTTGGATGGGTTACATATACTCTGTGTCCTTGTTGGCTGTTTGTTAGGATTTAGTAGGGAGAATGATGTTTCCAGTCCAGTAGGTTTCTCAGTGAAATTATTGTGATGTGACTATGTAAATCCATCAAACATTATGGAATAGTAGAGGCACCAACAATTGAGAAATGAATGCCCATTTCTGAGAGTCAGTAATTCCAAATCATTACATACACGAGGGATGGTTTATGGTTGCCATTACTAAACAGCTTTTTAAGCTGCTGAGCCTCAGGGAAACCTGAGTATGGGATGGGCCTCAACCTCCCCAGTGCCCCATGGCGTTACGGGAAGAGCAGGACAGGGGACGCAGGGCGCAGGCTGGCTTAAATAATTCAGTGCTGCCTTGTTTTAGAGTTTTTCACAGGCACTTGAGCGCCCTGCGAAACAAAGCAACCCCTCGGCCTCATTACCATTTGGCCAACAGCCCTTGGGAGCCTTTTTAAAGCCTTGGAACGATGCCTGCTCTTTTTCTTCTCAGGTTTGGCCACTATACCACGCATCTTTCTGTGGGTGTCTTTTCCCCCCCCCCCCCCCCCCCCTCTTTAAAGCAAACCCAGCCCCTGGTTTTATCATTCACTATGCCCACTAGTTTAACCTCTTTCTATTTTCTCTAGTCCATGATACTGCAGAAAAGTATTTAAATGATCTGGTAAATTCATTGAAATGGTTCCTTTGGGATAACAAACGGAAAGAAAAGAGGGGGATTATATGGAAATCTATATCTCCTGTAAGATGTATTTTGTATTAGGCCAGTCCTTGTCTTGAATTGGTTGCAACAGTGACCGACCGTTACATATAACTAGTCATGTTTTGCATTGTGTGATGATTTTTTTTTGGGGGGAAAGGTGGAATTTGTCAACTCATTGTCATTGAGCATGGTGTTAACGTGGCCCTGTTTGCGGAGCTATTTGCATAGTGTCAAACCAGGAAGGCCTTCAGTTAGCAGCTTAACCCCTTGAGACCCCCTCATTTGCATGCTTTTGTCAGCCAATAATGAATTTGGCCGCAACACTGACTGACTGAGTGTAATAGAAATGCAGAGATCTGGCTGCAGCTAACCGTCTTATTTCCTTTCTGTTTAGTGATTTTGTTTTCCCTGTCTACCCCCCTTCACCTCAACTCCTCTCTCCCTCTCTTTTTCGTTTCCCTCCTTTTTTGCTTCCTCACATTTAATACTTTTTTTTGCATGCTCCTTTTTTTTCTTTAGCTTGAAATGGCGATTGAAAACCTCCAAAAGTCTGAAGGGATTGCAACTCACAAAAGCAGCCTGCTCAACAGCCATGTAAGTCAACCAGGAACTTTCTTTGAAAAGGACTAGAAAGGCCCGCCTTTGTCTCCCTGGCTGTGGGCTACACTACCACTTGTCACTGTGATCTCTTCTCTTACTGCTGAAGGGACCATACTGACAGACTTCTGCTAATGCTAGCCTCACTGTGCTGTGGCCCAAAACACTACATTGTCGTCTGACCATAGGCTTTCCTTGCATTTGCTGCCATTTGTTGCTCAACCACAACTTGTTGATTGGGAGACTTGCTGCTGGCTGGGCTTGCCTTGGCCATGTTTTGACAGAAGCTATGCATATTTAACCTCTTGCGTTTTCAGATTCCACATGATGACCGCTATGTGATTGTTATAGCCACACAACGCCCTCCCCCCTTTTCAACTGTCAGGGAACCAGACACACGCACACATGCACAAGCGAATCAAGACACACACTCACTATTTGTCAACAATTACATGTTGTATAATGTGAGCCGGCGTGTTGGCAACAGCGACACACATCTCCATAATAACAGAGTGCTATGGTAATGAGATGCAGTACTACTTGACTACTTTACCAGAGCTGCCATTTAAACCAGCTATTTCATTGGACGCTAGGGGATTCTTCTCCATTCCCGCTCTTAACCCTTGGTCACCTATCTAGAATCTCTATATTATCAAGCAGCTCCTGACAGTTATATTATTGTCATCAAGTCTCTAGTCCACTTCATGCTGTGTCTGCCACACTCAGTCTGGCCACCCTGTAAATAGAGATAAATATCCATGCCCACAGCTTGTATTTATTTTCCAACTGCCGATCATCATCCTTTTACCTCTCCACCATTCACCATCCACACAGACAGGGAAGTCCTCTCTATTGGAGAATAGGGCGAGCAGGGTTCTATATTGCTCTAGTCCACAGGTATAATATGTGGTCTTCTGATGAGGCAATGAATGAGCAATTATCACGTCAAATACACTCATTCACCCCCCCGACAATTTTAAGCCAACATCTACATTCTCTCCCTCATGTTTAAACTCACTAAACAGGTGTGTGTGTGTGTGTGTGTGTGTGTGTGTGTACGTGTACCTGTGTGTGTTTCTGCTCTCCTTTGATGTGATAATAGAAGGCAGTGCTCTCCCTCTGGTTGGGCAGACAGCTGCAGGATGGTGGTACTGCAGAGGAGGCTGGTAGGAGGAGCTATAGGAGGACAAGCTCATTGTAATGGCTGGAATGGAAGGAATGGAACAGAGGCAAACACGTGGTTTCAATATATTTGATGTGTTTGATACCGTTCCATTTATTCCATTCCAGCTATTACAATGAGCCCGTCCTCCTATAGCTCCTCCCACCAGCCTCCTCTGAGGTACTGTAAGGATCAGAGTGCAGCAGTAGGTGGGACTGACGGTGTGTCTCTGTGCTGGGTGTGTGTGTAGCTGCAGTGGCTGCTGGATAACTATGAGACAGCGGAGGGAGTGAGCCTGCCCCGGAGCTCCCTCTACAACCACTACTTGCGCCACTGTCAGGAGCAGAAACTGGACCCGGTCAACGCTGCCTCCTTCGGGAAACTCATCCGCTCCGTCTTCATGGGCCTCAGGACCCGCCGCCTCGGCACTAGGTATGACCATGATGGTGATGAAGAGCAGGTGTAGGATCATGTTAATGATGGATTGGAATGATTGATTGATGATGGTGATAGTATTTATTCTGATGATGATAACACCGATTTACAAAGCTGATTACAATATTTCCTTATTAACCCCCGATGTTCCTGTTTGTTCCAGGGGCAACTCCAAGTACCACTACTACGGCATCAGACTGAAGCCAGACTCACCACTCAACAGACTGCAAGAGGACTCTCAGTACATGGCCATGAGACAGCAACCCATGCACCAGAAACAGAGGTGAACCCTCCCGCTCACATCCTCCACCTCTTCTCTCTTATCTGTCCATACTGTCTGCCAAAGCTTTGATCCAGTTCCTTTTGATATTTTTTAAACATTTGACTTCATGTCCCCTGCCTCTGCCCACATGACTTTTGTAGATTTTGAAATGCTTCTCTGCAATTGAGTGAAACGCTGCACTCGTCCTCATTTCAGAGACATGGTTTATTTAACCTCACACCTGCCTTTATTCTCCACCCTCTTCTCCTCTCCTCGTTTGTGCTTCCTCTCCTCTCCCAGTCATCCTTTAGTTCTTCCCAGCCCCACCCAACATAGCTGTGCTGCCCTCTCCCCTTTCCGCAGGTTCAAGCCCCTCCAGAAGGTGGATGGCATGGGGGACAGCCTGTCAGGAGGCTCCCAGCACTCAGCCAGCACCCCAGAGCAGTCTGTGGCAGCCCAGAGCCAGCACCACCAGCAGTACATCGGTAAGGAGCCACACTGACAGAGCATCAGGTCCCCTGTACCAAAACAGAGCTCGCATTAATGCCATAGTTTGTGAACACTGAGGATAAAACCGTAATGATGAAGGGCTTTTAGACTGCTTGCATGGCAGCCTAGGGTAGGGCCAGCCCAGTTTAATCACTGGATGCAATATTTAATTATGTCGCTTCACAGTATTATTAAACACCTCTTTGTCGTTGTTTGGGATTTGACTGTGTCATCGTGTCCGCAGATGTGTCTCATGTCCTGCCCCCGTTCCCCACCCCTGACATGGGCACCCAGCCCCTCCCCGAGCGTATCAACATGAACGACGTGAAGAAGCTGCAGAACCTGTACAGGGACCACTGTGAGGTACGTACGACACAGCGTACGACACAGCGTACGACACAGCGTACGACACAGCGTACGACACAGCGCCAACTAGCTGCAAACTGCACTGCTCTGGTGTGGTCTGTTCTGGTGCCGCAGGCGCTGCCAGCGAGAGCGAGAGACTGCAGCCCTCAACAGGTGTCCTGTCCTAGTCGACGGCACTGCAAATTTGATGAAATTATGTATGGGGGAAGCAACATTTCAGAGCTGGTGCTAGAACATCCTTAGTTACTGTTGAATGTGACTGAAGAGAATACCAACTCCCTGGATGGGATACAGTGATGAGTGAGGGGGTGAAATGTTTAATGTACATTTTTGGGGGACTTTCCAAGCTACAGAGAGAGAAGGAGAGACAGAAAGGGAGAGAGCCCTGAAAAGCTTCATTAAAGCACTGAAGCCGTGGGTTTATCATATTATCTGTGGCCTCCCTTTGTCCAGCCACACCACGCTCCTTTTGTTCCAGTCTCCTTTCATCTCAGCTCAGCTTTCAAGACATGCCAATTAACCTTTCAGCGTGCTGGGTGGACATCTTGGTATCTTTTTGTGCTCACCTCCCCGTGGGCCTTTGTGTTGCCTTGTCATTGGACGGGCACATGGGCTCCTGCCTTTGTCTGGCCGGCGCATTTCTGTCACTCACAGCTCTCTGTGTGTTTGTGTGTGTTTAATGTTTATGCGCTTTTCTCTTTGTGAACAAACAACCATCTGTTAACTTTATACTAGGAGGTTTATTGATGGTAATTGAAATGTACAATGCAAATAAAGGTAACAAGCATACAAATCAAGGTGTAGGTCCAGGAAGAACTTATTCCTCACCCTGCTTTTAGTGGAAATACAGCTGTAGATGTTGTATTTGAACATTTGTTCAAACAAGCAATGCATTAATTATCTATACACATTCATATTCATTGGCTTTGGCGTCCATACATGCATTTATTATTATATGTCAGTTATTAATAAGAGCAAAATATCCTGCTATCAACCACGCCAATGAAGCCTGCGGGTGTTGTGAGTTGAATTATAAAATTAGCAATAAAAACTCCAGCGTGGAAGGAAATGAATAAATCAGTCGAAATCACATAAAGAAGTGTATGTGTGTGGGGGCAGCATTAAGGAACCTCAGTCCCAGCATGCTCCTCTCGCTCTTTCTCTCGCTCTCTCTAGCCATAGTTTTTAAGGCATGCTGTTTTTCCTTTGTGTCAACTGGAGAGGTAAAACACTTGTTTGTAGGGGCAGGGGAATTCTTCTTTTTGTTTTGGAGTTTAGTGTTTAAGCTGTTGTCCAGGGCAACGGTAAACACGGTTGCCATAGTGATCCTTGGAGAGGAAGCAAAAACATATCATGTGATTGAAGGAAAGCTTATACTCTGCTGGGCTGTAACTGGAGACTGGGAGCATGTCCTGCCAAAGGAGAATCTCTGGGCATGGTGTGAAGAGTGAATAGAGACACTGTACCACTAACCACAGAGCACTGATAGACAGAACATACAGGAGGCTAACTGCTGCTCTGTTACTGAGGGTTGGCTGCGGCTTCACTGTCCATATTATGTGATATTTAAACATACCTTAGGCTATATCTGTGGCCATTTTGGTGTCATTTCAATTATGTTGACGTTGTCACTGTGACGATGTCTCCTTTTAGCCCATAAAGTTACTGGAAAATTGTATAGTGAGTTAGTAAATCTTTAGTATAGTAAATCTGTCATGTGGAGATTTGATTGGCGAGTTGATTAGTGTGTAGTGCATGCTTAGAACTCGGTATGTGAGAGTTCAAACACGCAAACAGGAATGAGGAAGTCGTGTGTGGGTGGGGAGTTGAGGCTTCCCAATATTACAGGGAGCAGGGAACTACACAATTATAGCACACACTGTAGTCCATGTTAAAGCCATATTAGAGTTGAATTAGTAGTAAATATCACTCTCAAATATGATCTGTTCTGGTTTGGGATCAATGGGTTGGAAGGAAGGCAGCGTTTAGCTTGGCATCAGCCTCTAACCATGAGGGCTCAGTCGGGAGGCTGCTACAGAGAAACTTTGTTGTGTGTCTGGTTGCCATGGCTCAGCTCTGTGTTTTGTCCTCCCCTTCTCCCCTCCTCCTCCTCTCCCGTAGGCTACTCTGGATGTGGTGATGAACCTCCAGTTCCACTACATTGAGAAGCTGTGGCAGACCTTCTGGTATTCAACAGCACCATCTAGTGACGGAACCACCACCATCCCCAACAGGTCAGACAACTGAGAGGATTGAGAAAGTAATATTTGAATTAGGAAAATGCATGTACACTGCTCAAAAAAACAAAGGGAACACTTAAACAACACAATGTAACTCCAAGTCAATCACACTTCTGTGAAATCAAACTGTCCACTTAGGAAGCAACACTGATTGACAATACATTTCACATGCTGTTGTGCAAATAGAATAGACAACAGGTGGAAATTATAGGCAATTAGCAAGACACCCCCAATACAGGTTTTGCAGGTGGTGACCACAGACCACTTCTCAGTTCCTATGCTTCCTGGCTGATGTTTTGGTCACTTTTGAATGCTGGCGGTGCTTTCACTCTAGTGGTAGCATGAGACGGAGTCTACAACCCACACAAGTGGCTCAGGTAGTGCAGCTCATCCAGGATGGCACATCAATGCGAGCTGTGGCAAGAAGGTTTGCTGTGTCTGTCAGCTATCAGGAGACAGGCCAGTACATCAGGAGACGTGGAGGAGGCCGTAGGAGGGCAACAACCCAGCAGCAGAACTGCTACCTCCGCCTTTGTGCAAGGAGGAGCAGGAGGAGCACTGCCAGAGCCCTGCAAAATTACCTCCAGCAGGCCACAAATGTGCATGTGTCTGCTCAAACGGTCAGAAACAGACTCCATGAGGGTGGTATGAGGGCCCGACGTCCACAGGTGGGGGTTGTGCTTACAGCCCAACACCGTGCAGGACGTTTGGCATTTGCCAGAGAACACCAAGATTGGCAAATTCGCCACTGGCGCCCTGTGCTCTTCACAGATGAAAGCAGGTTCACACTGAGCACATGTGACAGACGTGACAGAGTCTGGAGACGCCGTGGAGAACGTTCTGCTGCCTGCAACATCCTTCAGCATGACCGGTTTGGCGGTGGATCAGTCATGGTGTGGGGTGGCATTTCTTTGGGGGGCCGCACAGCCCTCCATGTGCTCGCCAGAGGTAGCCTGACTGCCATTAGGTACCGAGATGAGATCCTCAGACCCCTTGTTAGACCATATGCTGGTGCAGTTGGCCCTGGGTTCCTCCTAATGCAAGACAATGCTAGACCTCATGTGGCTGGAGTGTGTCAGCAGTTCCTGCAAGAGGAAGGCATTGATGCTATGGACTGGCCCGCCCGTTCCCCAGACCTGAATCCAATTGAGCACATCTGGGACATCATGTCTCGCTCCATCCACCAACGCCACGTTGCACCACAGACTGTCCAGGAGTTGGCGGATGCTTTAGTCCAGGTCTGGGAGGAGATCCCTTAGGAGACCATCCGCCACCTCATCAGGAGCATGCCCAGGCGTTGTAGGGAGGTCATACAGGCACGTGGAGGCCACACACACTACTGAGCCTCATTTTGACTTGTTTTAAGGACATTACATCAAAGTTGGATCAGCCTGTAATGTGGTTTTCCACTTTAATTTTGAGGGTGACTCCAAATCCAGACCTCCATGGGTTGATACATTTGATTTCCATTGATAATTTTTGTGTGATTTTGTTGTCAGCACATTTAACTATGTAAAGAAAAAAGTATTTAATAAGATTATTTCATTCATTCAGATCTAGGATGTGTTATTTTGGTGTTCCCTTTATTTTTTTGAGCAGTGTATGTTTTCTGTGATTGAAAACGGTGCTTTTAGTGATTGTATGCCGTGTGTGTGTGTGTACAGTGATGAGGACATGGAGGGGGTGATCCCCAGGGAGAAGCTGATGGCTCTGTGCAAGTATGAGCCTGTCAAGCTGTGGATGAGGAGCTGTGACCACATCCTGTACCAGGCCCTGGTGGAGATCCTCATCCCTGACGTGCTGCGCCCTGTCCCCAGTCAGTACACCTGCCTAACTTCAGCATTACTACAGTCGTGGTCAAAAGTTTTGAGAATGACACAAGTATTGGTCTTCACAAAGTTTGCTGCTTCAGTGTTTTTAGATATTTTTGTCAGATGTTACTATGGTATACTGAAGTATAATTACAAGCATTCCATAAGTGTCAAAGGCTTTTATTGACAATTACATTAAGTTTATGCAAAGAGTCAATATTTGCAGTGTTGACCCTTCTTTTTCAAGACCTCTTCAATCTGCCCTGGCATGCTGTCAATTAACTTCTGGGCCACATCCTGACTGATGGCAGCCCATTCTTGCATAATCAATGCTTGGAGTTTGTGGGTTTTTGTTTGTCCACCCGCCTCTTGAGGATTGACCACAAGTTCTCAATGGGATTAAGGTCTGGGGAGTTTCCTGGCCATGGACCCAAAATGTCGATGTTTTGTTCCCCGAGCCACTTAGTTATCACTTTCGCCTTATGGCAAGGTGCTCCATCATGCTGGAAAAGGCATTGTTCGTCACCGAACTGTTCTTGGATGGTTGGGAGAAGTTGCTCTCGGAGGATGTGTTGGTACCATTCTTTATTCATGGCTGTGTTCTTAGGCAAAATTGTGAGTGAGCCCACTCCCTTGGCTGAGAAGCAACCCCACACATGAATGGTCTCAGGATGCTTTACTGTTGGCATGACACAGGATTGATGGTAGCGCTCACCTTGTCTTCTCCGGACAAGCTTTTTTCCGGATGCCCCAAACAATCGGGAAGGGGATTCATCAGAGAAAATGACTTTACCCCAGTCCTCAGCAGTCCAATCCCTGTACCTTTTGCAGAATATCAGTCTGTCCCTGATGTTTTTCCTCGAGAGAAGTGGCTTCTTCGCTGCCCTTCTTGACACCAGGCCATCCTCCAAAAGTATTCGCCTCACTGTGCATGCAGATGCACTCACACCTGCCTGCTGCCATTCCTGAGCAAGCTCTGCACTGGTGGTGCCCCGATCCCGCAGCTGAATCAACTTTAGAAGACGGTCCTGGCGATTGCTGGACTTTCTTGGGCGCCCTGAAGCCTTCTTCACAACAATTGAACTTCTCTCCTTGAAGTTCTTGATGATCCGATAAATGGTTGATTTAGGTGCAATCTTACTAGCAGCAATATCCTTGCCTGTGAAGCCCTTTTTGTGCAAAGCAATGATAACGGCACATGTTTCCTTGCAGGTAACCATGGTTAACAGAGGAAGAACAATGATTTCAAGCACCACCCTCCTTTTTAAAGCTTCCAGTCTGTTATTCTAACTCAATCAGCATGACAGAGTGATCTCCAGCCTTGTCCTCGTCAACACTCTCACCTGTGTTAACGAGAGAATCACTGACATGATGTCAGCTGGTCCTTTTGTGGCAGGGCTGAAATGCAGTGGAAATGTTTTTTGGGGGATTAAGTTCATTTTCATGGCAAAGAGGGACTTTGCAATTAATTGCAATTCAACTGATCACTCTTCATAACATTCTGGAGTAAATGCAAATTGCCATCATAAAAATTGAGGCAGCAGACATTGTGAAAATTAATATTTGTGTCATTCTCAAAACTTTTGACCACGACTGTACATGATCATAACATTATCATTACCACATTATCGCACTCAATGGTCAGTGACTTTTATTTCAGCTCTGTTTTTGTATTGCAGGTACTCTCACTCAGGCTATTCGCAACTTTGCCAAGAGTCTGGAGGGCTGGCTGACCACAGCCATGAGCGACTTTCCCAATGAGATTGTCCGCACCAAGGTACAAAACACCCTCCAACACCCTCGTAGTCTTTCTGGGGACAGCTGAACTCCCAGATATACATTACACGCGGTACATTCCCAGGTGAAGTTAACCATCTCTCTTGTATGTCCTGTAGGCGGCGGTGGTGAGTGCGTTTGCTCAGACCTTGCGTCGGTACACCTCTCTGAACCACCTGGCCCAGGCGGCCCGCGCCGTGCTGCAGAACACCTCCCAGATCAATCAGATGCTCAGCGACCTCAACCGCGTCGACTTCGCCAATGTACAGGTAGGTCCATTCAACTAATAATTCCTTGGGTACATCTTTGTTGGTAGTGTTTTCTTCCCACTATGTGTGTGTGTGCGCGCATTTCTGTTTGTACCTTTACCTTGTATATCCTCTGACTTGGTGTGTCTGTCTGTGTGTGTGTGTTGGTCTACAGGAGCAGGCGTCGTGGGTATGCCAGTGTGACGAGACTGTGGTCCAGCGGCTGGAGCAGGACTTCAAGGTGACCCTGCAGCAGCAGAGCTCTCTGGACCAGTGGGCCGCCTGGCTGGACAACGTGGTCAACCAGGTCCTCAAGCCCCATGAGGGCAGCCCCAGCTTCCCCAGGGCTGCAAGACAGTTCCTGCTGAAGTGGTCCTTCTACAGGTATGGACCCTATTGATCTCGATAGATAGATCTCGATAGATGGCTTGATCTCGATAGATAGATACACTACATGACCAAAAGTATGTGGACACCTGCTCGTCAAACATCTCATTCCAAAATCATGTGCATTAATATGGAGTTGGTCCCCCCTTTTGCTGCTGTAACAGCCTCCACTCTTCTGGGAAGGCGTTCCACTAGATGTTGGAACATTGCTGCGGGGACTTGCTTCCATTCAGCCACAAGAGCATTAGTGAGATCGGGCACTGATGTTGGGCGATTAGGCTTGGCTCGCTGTCGGCATTCCAATTCATCCCAAAGGTGTTCGCTGGGGTTGAGGTCAGTGCTCTGTACAGACCAGTCAAGTTCTTCAACACCGATCTCGACAAACCATTTCTGTATGGACCTCGCTTTGTGCACGTGGGCATTGTCATGCTGAAACAGGAAAGGGCCTTCCCCAAACAGTTGCTACAAAGTTGGAAGCACAGAATCGTCTAGAATGTCACTGTATGCTGTAGCGTTAAGATTTCCCTTCACTGTAACTAAGGGGCCTAGCCTGAACCATGAAAAACAGCCCCAGACCATTATTCCTCCCCCACCAAACTTTACAGTTTGCACTATGCATTCGGGCAGGTAGCGTTCTCCTGGCATCGGCCAAACCCAGATTTGTCCGTCGGACTGCCAGATGGTGAAGCGTGATTCATCACTCCAGAGAACGCGTTTCCACTGCTCCAGAGTCCAATGGCGGCGAGCTTTACACCACTCCAGCCGACGCTTGGCATTGCGCATGGTGATCTTAGGCTTGTGTGCGGCTGCTCGGCCGTGGAAACACATTTCATGAAGCAGGGCAGAAATTTGACGAACTGACTTGTTGGAAAGGTGGCATCCTATGACGGTGCCACGTTGAAAGTCACTGAGCTCTTCAGTAAGGCCAATGTTTGTCCATGGAGATTGCATGACTGTGTGCTCCATTTTATACACCTTTCAGCTACGGGTGTGGCTGAAATAGCCGAATCCACTAATGTATATATGAATGTATGTGTGTAACTGCCAAAATAAAGGAAACGCTTGAGTAAATGAGGAATACAAATATTTTTGAAAGCTTAAGTGCTTAGGGTCATGTATAATAGAGTTCCAGACACTTGTAGAATCTTTGCCAAGGTGCATTGAAGCTGTTCTGGCTCGTGGTGGCCCAACACCCTATTAAGACACTTTATATTGGCGTTTCCTTTATTTTGGCAGTTACCTGTGTATATATACAGTATGCATTTTCACTAAGGCATGGTAGTATTTGCAGGCTGATGAATGTGGTGGTTAGCTTCGTGTGGCAGGGGCAGATTGACGCTCAGTGGGGCTGTGTTAATGTAATTTCTCTGATTGCCTCCTCCCCTTCTCCAGCTCCATGGTGATCAGGGACTTGACCCTGCGTAGTGCCGCTAGTTTCGGCTCCTTCCACCTCATCAGGCTGCTCTATGACGAGTACATGTTCTACCTGGTGGAGCACCGCGTCGCCCAGGCAACCGGAGAGACGCCCATCGCTGTCATGGGAGAGGTGAGTGGGCGGCCTTTCAAGTACCGGTTTCCTTGAGCTATCATGTGGAACTCCTGCAAAAATAATTATGCATATTTTATCGCACACCAGGTTCTATGGTGAGAGTTTCTGGTTATGAGTAAAATGGCCTGTTGACAGCATGTAAATCTGTATTAGCCCATTACTAATAAAATGTCTCCTTTCTTCTGAAACACAGTTCAGTGACCTAAACTCGATGATGCCCATGCTCATGGACAAAGGTCGGTCTACTCCCCCTGGCTCCTAGTGTTTGACTTGTTATCCCTATGTCTCAATGTGGTATAAATCTAAACCTTACCTCTTGTTAACCGCTGTTGTTCCCATCTCAGACCCTTCCTTCTCAGACGACATGAGTGACATGGGCAGTGACGAGGGCCGGGGGCCCAACGAGCCGGCCGTGAAAAGGGAGAGGATCGAAATCAACCACTCGCTGCAGGAGATCTGAGACCAGATGAGGCCCGTGACCCACCCTCAGGAGCCCTGCTGAAGCTCTGGGCTCTCCTGGTCCTGTCAGCACACTAAGAGCCGCGAGGCTAGCCCAGCCTGCTACACAGCCAGTGTGTTCAGTGTATATAGAGAAGAGCAGCAGGCTCAGCCCCTACCCTACCACTCCTCCTAGTTAGTGTATTTAAAGGGGGACTCTTTATCCCAGGGAAAACAATGAATGCTCACCAAGGGGGGCTGGTTTGACCTGATAGGGGTATACAGTTCTTTTTTTCCTGTTTTGCAACTGTGAATAAGGATGACTATGTGCAGTACCCATGTTGGATACGTGTAACTTCGTATGAGTGGTGTGTGTTTCTTATCCTTTATTAGCTGTGCCATAGTGTCATTTCAGTGCCTTAGATGCTCTCTTTAACCGCCACTACTACAGATGTCTATCTCCTCCCTCAGCTGTGCCTCTACCGCAGTATGAATGTATTGTTTCAGAACCTCAGACATTCTAAAGCACCTTTAAACCTGTAGGTGTAGTAGGAGTATTCTATACGTGTTGCCTCTGCTGCTACTGGCAGCTCAACGCACATTGATGCAACCCACTGACCCAAAGGACCTGTCCCACCAGCGTGGCCACTCCCTTGGCTCTGTCAGTAGGGCTTCATGCAGAAAAAAGCCCCTAGTCTCATAGTTGATGGGAAGGCAGGGACCTCTAACACCCTGGCTGTATGAGATGATTAGTTACCTCATCCTTTTCTATGCTCTGCTCTGTTCTTATGAGGCAACTATAAAAGAGTAGCCACTGTTACTGTTAATTCTACCAACTCCCCCATACTCAAGTAACCTTCTCCATGTATATATATCACTTTTCATCCAAATTGTAAACAATTCTATGATGGTGTTTGGCATCAACTCAATTTCAGGATGCACACAATGCTGGTCTCATTGATCCATGACTGTAGAACTTTGGGGGTGTTTCTAGATGTCACACCCCAGAGTCTAGGACAAGCCAGTTGCATCTATGTTGATGAGACATTTAGATTGATGTTTTAAAGACTGATATTTTAAAGACTGAAAGGAGAGTGGTGGACTGTGTTCAGGAAACCACCAGATTGTATGTATATATGATGCTCTACCTTCTGGGTTAACTGGAGGTGTGTCTGGCATCCATTTTGTGGAGCCGTATGTCTGGCCCAAACTGGGCCATGTGGAATTTCTTAAGGGATGTAAAATAGTATGTATTTACCAAAACGTGAAAGAGCGTTGGACCTCCGAAGCCAAAACCCTTTTAAAGGAAACTCTAGTTGCATCTGTTCAGTTCAACTGATGCTCTGAGTTCAGATAGTGTGGCTCTCCCCCTTAATGTTACCGTTTACTCAAATGGACTCGTTCCATTTTGATTGGAGAGGGAAATATTCAGAATATCCCAATCCATGTTTAGTTTCTATTGCTTGATATATGAAAGTGCAAACGGCTCGAGGCTGTTGCTCTAAGATGATTACATATTATATAGCCGTACAATTGTACTGTAGGAGGACTGATTGTGCGAAACCAACAAACTGTTAAACGTTCATACATAAATATATTTCTTAATATGATGTAGAAAATGTATGTGTTTATTAATGGCCTTCGGGATCACGTGGGGCTGGATTCAACCCATATCACACAGAAGTATTGTGGAAGATCTGCGCTAGAGTACGATTTAAATTTAAAGGCAATGTTCGCGGAGTCTGCATTCACGGTAAACGCTGCATATGTCGGCTCAATTGGAAATTACCTTAACATTTTAATGCGGATCTTCCGCGATACGGATTGAATCCAGCACTTGGTCTTTCCCCAATCATTTCCCTCTTCCCATACTGTACTGTTTGTGCTTTTAAAGGGGATGTCCTCCTTGCTTTGATTATTTAGTGGCTGGGACTGATGTGTGACGCAGACGTTTTGTCTTGTTTTGATCATTTTCTGTGTCTTATGGTCAACACATCAATATTTAACTGTAACAATGTTGATATTTGGGGTGTAAGTGCCCAATTAAACTATGAAACGTCAGTCACGTGTCCATATTGGGAGAATCTCCATTTCTATTTATGAATAAATATAACTGATTTAATTACTGATTTACATGAACTTTAATTTCAAAACACTTTTGGTTGAATTTCACTTTTCCCCCTCAGTTTGTAGTAGCTTGAGAATCCTGAGCTCTTTGTAACTTGTGCCTGTCACAGTACTTTGCCTTTTAAGTGCTTGGGAAAGTAATTTCTATGTGAACTTTAATGTTTTTTGTAATGCTGTTTAGACTTTTGGCTGAGGATTATTTTTTATTGAACTAAATCTGGTTCTTCTTACAAGTATATTGAACCCTTATTTTTATGTATTTTTAAACCTATTCTTGACTACACTTTACCTAGCTTGAGGGCATACAGTCTGTAACAAACTGCATAGTTCAACTGTTTTGTACTGATCAATGTGTAATAAATTGGTGGAAACCATCGTTTTTGGCCACATTCATTTATTAATTAGAAAGTCAAATGAAATGTATATTTTGGAAGAACAGCAGCTTTACTAAAAATGTTCAATGTGTCTTCCTGGCCAATGAACTGTTAATACTGTAACCGCTCACAATGATTCAGTCTACAGTGGATATAAAAAGTCTACACACCCCTGTTAAAATGCCAGGTTTTTGTGATGTAAAAGAAGAGAAAGATAAATCACGTAAGAACTTTTTCCACTGTTAATGTGACCTATAATGTGAACAATTAAATTGAAAAAAAACTAATCTTTGAGGGGGAAAAATGAAAAATAATAACCTTACAATAACCTGGTTGCATAAGTGTGCACACCCTCATAACTGGGGATGTGGCTGTGTTCAGAATTAACCAATCACATTCAAACTCATGTTAAATAGAAGTCATTACACACCTGCCATCATTTAAAGTGACTGATTAATCACAAATAAAGTTCAGCTGTTCTAGTAGGATCTTCCTGACATTTTCTTAGTTGCATCTCAGAGCAAAAGCCATGGTCCGCAGAGAGCTTCCAAAGCATCAGAGGGATCTCATTGTTGAAAGATATCAGTCAGGAGAAGGGTGCAAAATAATTTCCAAAGCATTACATATACCATGGAACACAGTAAAGACAGTCATCATCAAGTGGAGAAAATATGGCACAACAGAGACATTACCAAGAACTGGACGTCCCTCAAATTTATGAAAAGACAAGAAGAAAACTGGTCAGGGAGGCTTCCAAGAGGCCTACAGCAACATTAAAGGAACTGCAGGAATTTCTGGCAAGTACTGGCTGTGTGACAACAATCTCCCGTATTCTGCATATGAATGAGCTATGGGGTAGGGTGGCAAGACGGAAGCCTTTTCTTACAAAGAAAAACATCCAAGCCCGGCTGAAGTTTGCAAAAACAAACATCAAGTCCCCCAAAAGCACGTGGGAAAATGTGTTATGGTCTGATGAAACCAAGGTTGAACTTTTTGGCCATAATTCCAAAAGGTATGTTTGGCGCAAAAACAACACTGCACATCACCGAAATAACACCATACCCACAGTGAAGCATGGTGGTGGCAGCATCATGCTTTGGGGCTGTTTTTCTTCAGCTGGAACCGGGGCCTTAGTCAGGGTGGAGGGAATTATGAACAGTTCCAAATACCAGGCAATTTTGGCACAAAACCTTCAGGCGTCCGTTAGAAAGCTGAAGAGGAAGTTCAACTTTCAGCACGACAACGACCCAAAGCACACATCCAAATCCACAAAAGCATGGCTTCACCAGAAGAAGATTAACGTTTTGGAATGGCCCAGCCAGTGCCCAGACCTGAATTCAATTGAACATCTCTGGGGTGATCTGAAGAGGGCTGTGCACAAGAGATGTCCTCGCAATCTGACAGCTTTGGAGCACTTTTGCAAAGAAGAGTGGGCAAATATTGCCACGTCAAGATGTGCCATGCTAACAGACTCCTACCCAAAAAGACTGAGTGCTGTAATAAAATCAAAAGGTGCTTCAACAAAGTATTAGTTTAAGGGTGTGCACACTTATGCAACCAGGTTATTGTGAGTTTTTTTATTTTGTATTTTTCCCCCTCAGATTTCAGTTTATTTTCAATTGAATTGTTCACGTTATAGGTCACATTAAAGGTGGAAAAAGTTCTGACATGATTTATCTTTGCCTCATTCTTTTACATCACAACAACCTGCCATTTTAACAGGGGTGTGTAGACTTTAAATCCACTGTATATGCGCAGAAATATTCTTCATTTACATACATTTAAAATTCAAGTCTCCATGGAAATTCTGTTCAAGACATTATGTAAGTAGTATATGTTTATATTCATTCATAAACAGTTCTTTCTCTTCAATAAAACCAACTTCTTACATCCAGTTTTCAAACTCCTGATATAAAAGGTGCACAGAACACAATGCAAACACAACAAACAAGATTCAATACAAGAAAAAAGAAGGGTACACTCCCCTGGAAAGGGAGAGGATTGTGTGTACAACACAGAGCAAAAAAAAGGTATAGGTCTGAAAACGAGCTTGGTCCATTTTAGCAGCAAGGACATGTTAAGTGCACATTCTCCTCCAAAGGCAGGAGTGAGCACGGTGCCTGGTCCCAGTCTGTCTGTCCTCTACCTCCCTGGGAAGGAGGTCAGTATGGCCCAGAGGGCTAAAAGTGCAATGTGTACTCCAGGAACTCCTACTGCTCCTCACAAGGAGCAGCCTGCCATGTACTTCCCTGCCAAGGAGACACAAACATATGTGGTGAAACCCATTAACTTTTTTTTCATATAACCTTTTGTGAAACTCCAAGGCCCACACACTATCTTATTGGCCAGGCCTAATAACATATGATGTTACTGTACTATACCTGTGGCAAATCTCTTCTTGACCAGGGACATACGGTAGCGGCTGCCCACCAGCTCCACGTCCATGCCCGACAGAGAGGCCCCGGAGCCCACAAACTGGACTGCCAGGCTGGGGGGAGGTCCGCGAGGAACCTCCAGGCACTGCCAGCTGGCACACAGAGTGCCAGAGCCTGGAACAACCAACAATTGACACATTCTTCAGTTCCCCTACACTAACAGGAGCAAGTTAATAACACTGGCTTGTTATAAAAAAAGAAAAAAAGGCTCTTGTCTTTTCCCACTAGCACTGACTGCTGATAAATACTTTGAGGGAAAATCTACTTTATACGATTGTGATGTCTTGTCTCACCTAACCATTTTAAGATGAATGCACTAATTGTAAGTCGCTCTGGATAACTGTGTCTGCTTAATGACTAAAATGTTTTTTGTAATAATCATCCCTGCCAATTCTCCCTTATCTTATCACCAGCACTGACCCATCTTCCACTCACAGGCTCAGCTTTCATATGCTAATCTTAATATTTAAGATAATGATACCTTCATAAAGGCTGCATATTAAAATAGAGAAGAGGGTGGCACTCAATGCGATTATGTTGTCAAGGGCCAGACTTGGAATAAAGAACATTATACTGCATTTATATTTCCTTACCTATAATTTATATAGCTAGAATATGACCGATATGTGGCCACTGAGTGAGATGGGTGCGGATGTATTGTAGACAGACTGACGGCCAGACAGAAAGACAGAGACAGGTCAGTAACCTTTGCTGTGGTTGGTGGGGGAGAGGTTGGGTAGTTTCCACAGTAGCTGTCGTTCCTCAGCATTCCTGTGAAGGCAGACAATAGAGGGTCAGTGGGGCCAACCCAGTTCCCACTCCTCTCTCTTTCCCAGTCTGTCCTCACCCTCTCGCTGACCTTCAATCCGTCCTTTCTCCTACTGTCACTATCCCTCTATCCCTCGGCCCACCTTCCATCCTCCGCCCACCTTATATCACCCTTTCAATCCCACTACCATGCTTCCATCCCCACTCACCAGGAGGCTGGGGGCTGGCACTGCAGGTCTGTGGCGGTGTGGTCGAGGGGCAGCAGCACCTGCACAGCAGTGAGCTGGGTGGAGGGGGCGGTGGCAGGGCAGCAGTGGTAGTCCAGTGACACACGGGTCACTGTGCCACTACGCTGACACTCTGCTGACAGCAGGAGGGGAGCACGACCAGGGTCCTGGGACGACACCTGAGAGGGGCGGGAGGGAGAGAGGGAAGAAAGGAGAAAAGGTTGTTGATGTTGGGACAATGCTGTCATTTGGAAGACAGAGGAAAATATGTATCTTGAAAAATACTTGTGTGTAACTTCAGATGACAGAGGGTAAGAGAGTAACACTGTACTTCATCACTCACTCACCTGGTACTTGAGTAGGGCCACGTTATAGTAGGACGCCTGGGGGTTGAGCTCCGCCTCTCTCTGCAGGTAAAGGTACAGTGCCTGCATGTTGAACCAGAAGTCCCTGGTGTCTGGGTCACTCTGAGAGGGGTCACTGTGGAGTAGAACACACTCAGGAGAATGAGATATATCCTACCATTTCAGCAATCTGTAGACGGGTGTGTTGTTTAGCAACAAAACCAATGCGTGTGCATCTTCGGGGGCGAATTTTAGCCGTATTGTCATAGACGTGGTTTAAGTCAAAACACCTAAAAACAAAACATGGTATCAAGAACCAGATAAAACTAGCTGAAACAAGCCCCCTATGATTCCCCACATGGCAGCTTCTTGTCATTGTTACTAGCTATCGGATCATTCAGAATCATAACGACACACAGCCTTCTACCCCTGCGATGTGCGCAGATAATTTGTGTGACGTTGTCACGCAACCTGTCTATACATCATAACCTCACAACCAATCCCATAGCCCATATTAATCTACCTGTAAAGCAGCTTCTGATTGGGCAGAAAGTGGTTAACCCGGGAGATGTTGACCAATCGAAAGCTGAGGACCGGGGCGTTGGGGTTAGCAGTGAATATACGAGTGATTCCAGCAGGAAAAGACATGGTGAGATCTCCTGTGATCTTCACCAGACAGCTGGAGAAGAGAGAAGAGAAACGCGCACACTCAGCTTTCAGCAGGCCTGTGTATAAAAGGTTTATAACATTGGATCTGGTGTACAGACGGCTTATGTATACTGACCGGTTATGCTGTCCACCTTTGAAGTAAGCATTGATGTATTCTGTGATAGCTGCAGCCACAGGCCAGGACTCCTGGGTGCTCAGGGAGATCGGGCTCGGACCCCGAGACAGATGCACTGTGGGAAGAATAGCTATGTCTATGACAAGTTCAAGGCACAATGTCCTTATTCATAAGCGCTTTATGCTATTGAGTATCTTTAAAAAAACTGGTATGAAAAGGGTTGTGTTCAGACTAACTGTGTAGGCACGCATGGTCTTGGTGCAGGTGTGAGAGGGGTGAGGGCTGCCCACCTCTGGCAGGGCTGGGGGCGCGGGTCTGGGCCCCCCACTCACTGGGGCTGGAGGAGGACGACGAGGTGAGGTCTGGGCTGGGGTCCGGCTGAGGAGACGAGCACACTGACCTGGACTGAAGACACACAGGAAACAGGTTTCATTAAGTAGTCTACAGGCTTATAGCTGTAAAATTCACAGGTCTGGGAGTGAGACCAGACCAGAGCTTCTGTAGTCAGGTTGATTTTCCTGAAGACACTCACTCTCTCACAGCCACTCAGTCTGCCTGAGGACCTCTTGGCTCTGGCTGGTCTGGGAGGGGCTGCCACCAGCAGCTCTGCACTGTCCTGCCTGAAGCTATGCTTCGAACCTGGAGGAATATTACCAATATTACAACCTGTAATAGACAGCGTGGAGTTTTGAATAGAGTGAAACATAGTTGTACAATCTCAAAAGATAGCTAGCGCATAGACATCTGAGCCCAGTAATGTAGTGTTCAACAGTCATACCCTTGTGTGAGCCCAGGTTGCAGGGCGGCTGTGGTGTGTTCAGGTCCAGACAGTTCTGGTCTTTATCAGTAGAAAAGCACAGGTCCTCCTGTGGCCCAGAATGCCGTGTGAGAGGCAGGCCGCTCCTGCGTGGCTCGCTTTCGCTGCGTGACTCGCGCTGCTTCCTCCCTCCCTCCTGGACCAGTCCACCCAGGGCCAGAGACCCAGCCGAGGTCCCCTCACTGAAGGGGTTGTGGACAGAGTTCCAGTGGACCAGCTCCTTCTTAGGATGGGATAAGGGGAGGGAGTTGGAGTTGGGGGTCAGCCTACTACTGCTGCCGATGTGGGTCAGGACTCCTGTCGCAGCAGCTAGGGCTGACTGGTGGGTGGGGCTGCCAATCATAGTGATAGCGAATGGGTCGTCAGGTGATTCTGGGGGCGGGGCACTACGGTCTCGTTTCCTGTCCCTATCCTTGCGAGAGCAGGAGGAGGGGGCGGGGAGGGTTTTACTGTCACTAAGGGAGCCGGAGAAGGGCTCGCCCTGTACCTCTATCCCCCTTCCGTCTCTGGAGGGCCGCGGGCGTGGGGGGGCCCAGGCGTCAGGGGGGGGCAGGGTCTCCTGGATGACGGTCCTCTCGAAGGCGACCAGGAAGGGGTCCTCAGGAGGGATGTGTTTACAGCTCCACAGGGCCGGCTCCAGCTCTGGAGGGGCCAGGGACTGGGAAAAGGCTGGGAAGCAGAGGGCTGAGGGGTCCATGTCTGGAGGGGGGCGGGGGGATCGTGGAGCAGCTGCCCAGATACTGGCAGGGTCATCCTGGGGGTGGGGGCTGCGTCCCGGGGAAGGGTCTCTAAAGACAGTGAGGAAGGGGTCTTCTGGCCTGCCCAGTCCTGCTGGTTCTTTATTCTGACCTGCTGACGGCCACGCTGCCCAACCAGCCGGCTCAGGGGAGGGGTCCAGGGGCTGATGGGAAGGTGAGTCCAGCCCTGAGTCCTCAACGTTCTCAGGAGAGGAGGAGTCAGAGGAGAAGGCAGCATCTGGAGGGAACAAGGAGAGACGATCATTCTACTATCTAAAACAGTATGTATCATACATGCATATATAGGATCAGGAGTTTTTACTGACTGGAAAAACTTCTGTCCCTATCAATCATACATCATAATACTTTAAACCGTATTTACATTCAGATGCACCAAATGCACTCTCTGCTCTCTGTAGCTGATCTCTACCAGCAAAGCTTTTTGACTTGAAGGCCGACTCCAGAGGAGGTCCAAAGAGACTGTCCGAGCCTGACGCAGTAGAACTCAACCTAGAGGGTGGGTGAGAGACAGATGGAATGAGAGAGGGAAAGAGACAGTGAGGGAAGGAGAGAGGGAGATAATACGTTACCAGGAGCGAACAAAAAGCACAGCCAGAGATAATGTCAGGTGATGCAGTACTATCATCAGATCTCCTGCTGGGTTCCTCTCCCACAGCATCTCTCCATCTCCCTGCTACAGCTATGTACTTCAGAGGGAGGAGAGAGGGGAGGAGTGGAGTGTGACTGACATTCACTCACCTACTGTGATCTGGACTGGAGGTGGATCTGCGTAGGCCGTCCTGCTCTCCCTCTGCAAAGTACACACACAGTTAGTGAAATTTAATTTGTGACTGGTCCCCAATCAGGGGGAGATGTGATTAGCTAGAGTGCTGATGGTGGGCAGCTGTAAGGGAATACCCATTACCTTCCATAAAGATAAATACCAGCCATTAGCCTGGCTTCTCTAAGCAACATCAGCCCAGCGCTTTATGCTACTGTTTTAATCAAGGCACTCATCATTAATCCTGCCTGCTCATTTCCCCTGCTTTATCCCATCTCCTCCACAAATAGCCTCCTACTGTAGCATCACAGGCTGCTTATCCCTCACTAATAAATCATGTGCCACACAGACCGAAGTGTGACAAATAGACAGTGTCATTCAGCCAATGTCAGCAACCTTGACGATGCATCACCAGATGGATATGCACTGTTAAGCCTATCCAGAAGCAATACAGTAAATCCCATTCACAACATCACTTCAGACTGGTAGTAACCTTAAAGATAGAGTAATAGTATCCTTGTGCATGAATACCATATGAAACAGATGTTTATGACCTTTTAACACTGATAGAATACGGTGAAATTATAAAGTACATGGTAAGGGTCAGGGCAGTGGAGAGTGGACTGCTGATGCTGCAGAAACAGTGGAGAGTGAGAGTGCTAACTACTTACCCCTGTGGGTGGCGCCCTCTCCCTCCCCCTCTGAACGTACTGTAGTACTGCTGTTTCCTGTGGAGAGAGGTCAAGAGGAGTCAGAGGACAACACACACACAGAGAAATGCGTAAAACATACAGACAGAGACAAACAGATACAGATATTTTTAACAAGAAGCCGGTTTTAATGGAACTTACTGGAGAGATGTCGTTTGATTGACACCTGGAATGAGAGAGAGCAGAGTTGTTAATTACACTGTCTGGCAATATCTAAACAACTTAGAATGTTTACATCCTGCTGTTATTGCACCAACATGGAGAGGTAATAGCAGGAAAAACAAACATGGCATAATAAACAGATAAACATTTCTGAGCTTATCTTTTTCATAAATCTTAGACTTTTGATCCCACACCATGTGAAAATCCACAACACATTTCATCCCATGCCTCCCCTCTGGTCCTGTACCCACTCCTTCCCCCTAGGGGTGGCAGGTAGCCTGGCGGGTAGGAGCGTTGGGCCAGTAACCGAAAGTTTGCTGGATTGAATCCCCGAGCTGACAAGGTAAAAATCGGTCATCCTGCCGCTGAGCAAGGCAGTTAACCCACTGTTCTCCGGGCGTTGATGACATGGATGTCGATTAAGGCAGCCCCCCGCACCTCTCTGGTTCAGAGGGGTTGGGTTAAACCTCCCCCTTTCCCCTTCTCTCTCCCCGTCGTACCCCTCTGTTGGGGGGCAGTGTGAGTGCCCCCACGGTGGCCTTTAGCTCCATCTCTGTAGCAGCAGAGTTGCTGCAGCTGCTGCTGCCCACCGGACGGATCTGGACGTGGAACTTCTTGGGCTCCTCATCATCAAAGTCAGAGTCGCTGGAGTAGAAGTTGTCCTCCTTGTCCTCCGTCGAGCAGCGTGCAGACAGAGTCAAGAAAAAGTGATGTGACTGAGGGTGGACAGTGGACTGACTAAAATGGACAGGGAAGAGGTTAATGCCTTGGACAACTTTGGGAGTGTCAGGGTTTCCATTGTCCAGCCTCATTCACTGATAATGGAATGGAGCTGGACTAGGGTCAGACAGAGAGCATTTCAGTCCATTTAAATGTCTCTCAGGGGGCAGGGAGACTTAATGTTCTACTCATCTCATAGGAGACCATCTAGAATACTCTCTTACACAGTGGCAGGAAGCCTTGTTTTCATTATGAAGATAAAGAGGTCTGTCCAAGGTATTATTACTACAATACAGTAGAGATAGCCTCTCGTCTGATAGTCATTGTCACTGCAAAGGATATCATTCTGATTGACGTCTGCTCGGATGACAAACCCCTCCTCATCCACCTCCAGGGGAGAGTTCTGTGTGCAGAATAGAGAATACCCATGTTAGATACAAACAAACACTTTCTCCAAGTGTTTGATATGCTTAAAGTACCATAACAACCCTTAACCCTGTGATGTTATCATCAGGAGTGTTAGATAGCTTTAGGAGCAATGTGTGAAAACTAGGACCTGGTTAAATGGTGGTTTGAGGGGCCCAGTAGGTTCTTATATAATAAGATCTCTGTTTGCTCTATACAACCCACCCCTCCTCCTCCTCCTCATATGTGACACTTGTCTGTTAAAACAGTCCTGGCAGCCCACTGATCTCCAGCCAACCTCAAAAACCCCTTTAAATACTTTAAAGTACTACTTAAGTCGTTTTTGGGGGAATCTGTAATTTCTATATATTTAAAAAAAAAAAATACTTCACTACATTCCTAAAGAACATAATTTACATTTTATTCCATGCATTTTCCTGACCCCAAAAAGTACTCGTTACATTTTGAATGCTCAGCAGGACAAGAAAATGGTCCAATTCACACACTTATCAAGAGAACATCCCTGGTCATCCTTACTGCCTCTGATCTGGCGGACTCACTAAACACAAATGCTTTGTTTGTAAATTATGTCTGAGTGTTGGACTGTGTCCCTGGCTATCTGTAAAATTGTTTTTATTAAATCAAGAAAATTGTGCCGTCTTGTTTGCTTAATATAAGGAATCTGAAATGACTTAGATACTTAAGTATATTTTAGCAATTACATTTACTTTTGATACTTAAGTATATTTAAAACCAAATACTTTTACTCAAGTAGTATTTTACTGGGTGACTCACTTTTACTTGAGTAATTTTCTATTAAAGTATATTTACTTTTACTCAAGTATGACAATTGGGTACTTTATCCGCCACTGCTCACAATAATAAAACTAGACAAGGTAACCAAACGCTGCCAGACATGCCATTGGCACACATATGATTACTCTCCCTTGCTCATACACACGCACAAATTCGACACACAAACCACAACACACACACACACACACACACACACACACACACACACACACACACACACACACACACACACACACAGCATTGATGTGTCTGCCAGTAAGTTGGCAGGGGGGCACAGTGATATGCTGTTTAAATCACCACCACCAGGGATGTAGAACTGATAATGGAAGAACTGCCATTGACTTGATGGTTTTTAAGCCACTGTGTACAACTGTGAATTAGCATATACTCACTGGTGTCTCCGTCACAGCCGAATCCCTGCAAAAAGAAACACAAAGGTGAATGTAGCGAAGTAACAAGATAGTATCACAGATGGAGCTGACAAAAGAAAGTGAGGGTAATTGGGATTTATCATCTGAGTGCGTGTGACGACATCTCTCCAGTAATTTCCATTTATCTTGGCTGCTTGGTAAAAATAGCTGGGTTTCTGTCTGCCTGTGTTGTACGCGCACGTCTGTGTGTGTGTGCTCACGTTGAGTCTGGCTCTTTGTCCCTCTTGCCCAGTCCAGGAATCCTGAAGGCTTTTCCTCGACTCTTCTTACTCCCCTCCGGTACTAAAGCTGTCATGTACTCCTCAAACCCCACCAGGGCTGCCACACATAGGGACACACCACAGTGAGGACTAATCGTGCCCATGCTGGGATCAAACCATCTGTTTATGGTGTCTGTGTGGTATACCTGGTCTGTCCTTGCCTGTGCCCTTCTGCTCTGCAAACTTCTGGATGAGGTTATCTATGCCGATGTTCTCCACGTTCTGTTTGAACTCCTCATGGACCTGAACAGAGGAGAGAGGGGCTCAATGCAGTCAGAGAGCAGCTCAAGAGAAAGAGAAGAGAGAGGGGTTTGGACTGGAGTGTGTGTTGTGGATGTGCTCTGTGTGTGAAATTTGACTGTGGTTCAGTTTGACTGTAGCAGGAGACAACCCCTCAGAGAGGTCAGTTAAATCCCTCCAGACAGACTCTCCTGGCCTGGGTCAGTGCCTGGGTGACCTACCTGTCCCACCTGGACATGGGTGTCCTCTATGGAGTGGGAGTATCCCTTGATCAGCTGTTTCATCTGCCTCAGGTGGGCCTCCTCAATGTCCTGGAACTTCTGTACAAAGGACGAGAACCCAACAACGGTGTTCAGACACCAAGATGGGTCCTAATTACAGCAAACTACCCCAAAGCACAACAAAATGCTACTCAAAATACCCATAAAACATCACAAAATGCTACTTAAGTAGAGCTAAGTGGTAAGAAATAAACCAAAAGAACCCCAAGACAAAGACCAGAGGCAACTGTACAGGAATAGAACCAGGTACAGACCAAGGCAGGGGAGCATAATATAACTCCCATCCCAGGTAATAATCACAACACTGCATGTGGGCTAGAGTAATAGCTTAAAAGAACAGGTCATTTCCCCCTGTCATGCTCTGGGCTGTTGTCTTCATGAAAACACACTGAGCTCTCTCCTTCTCACTCATAATTAGGGACAGATCTCCCATTGTAGCTATTAACAGGTAATTGGTCACCAGGATTCCAGCCATCATTTAATAACCAAATATAGCACCGTTCATCGGGTTTGTTGAGGGTTTCCTTGGAAACTGTGAAGGTTGCCATGGAGACATGTTCATTGTGAACAAAAAAGGTTTATGTTAACTTAAGGGAACCCCAGGATTGGGCCACAGTGATATAACAGGTCTGGTTCCTCCAGGGAGTCTGTCTAAGTAACCCGCCCCAGGCCCAGTGCACTGACTGACCTGGGCTGATTCGCTCATCTTCTGCTCAAAGTCTCCTCCCACGCGGTTATACTTCTCTATACACACAGCAAACGACTCTGCAGCTTTCTTAGACTTCATCTCCGCCTAGTGAGAGAGAGGGGAAGATTATAGACTTCATCTCCGCCTAGTGAGAGAGAGGGGAAGATTATAGACTTCATCTCCGCCTAGTGAGAGAGAGGGGAAGATTATAGACTTCATCTCCACCTAGTGAGAGAGAGGGGAAGATTATAGACTTCATCTCCGCCTAGTGAGAGAGAGGGGAAGATTATAGACTTCATCTCCGCCTAGTGAGAGAGAGGGGAAGATTATAGACTTCATCTCCACCTAGTGAGAGAGAGGGGAAGATTATAGACTTCATCTCCGCCTAGTGAGAGAGAGGGGAAGATTATAGGCTTCATCTCCGCCTAGTGAGAGAGAGGGGAAGATTATAGACTTCATCTCCGCCTAGTGAGAGAGAGGGGAAGATTATAGACTTCATCTCCGCCTAGTGAGAGAGAGGGGAAGATTATAGACTTCATCTCCACCTAGTGAGAGAGAGGGGAAGATTATAGACTTCATCTCCACCTAGTGAGAGAGAGGGGGAGATTATAGACTTCATCTCCACCTAGTGAGAGAGAGGGGAAGATTATAGACTTCATCCAGTCATTAGTGTAACCTTTATTCATCCTGGTGAGTCATCATTGAGAACAAATTATCTGTTATAATAATAACAACCTTGTTCAACTTTCTCTTATTCAGTGTACTTTCAGCAACTATTCATTCATTAACATAAGGCACCCTGTGCTCTTATAACAGTTAAGACAGCTATACTGTATTATACGGAATGTGTTCATTGATGCCTAGTGACAGACCTTCTCCAGTTCTTTCTGGGGAGCTCCCTCTTTCCTCAGTCTGTCCAGCTCAATACACTTGGCGTGGTAGCCCTCCCTGAACTTCTGGAGGTGACCACTCTGCACCTGGACGGCCTGAACAGCCTCCAGGGTCCCCACCTGCTCCTCCTTGGTCTGTGAGAAACACACCATGCACATATTATTAAATGGTAATTATATATTTAAGCAATAAGGCCCGAGGGGGTGTGGAATATGGCCAATATACCACGGCTAAGGGCTTTTCTTATCCACGACGCAACATGGAGTGCCTGGATTCAGCCCTTAGCCGTGGAAAATTGACAATATACCACAAACCCCCCGAGGTGCCTTATTGCTATTATAAACTGGTTACCAACCTAATTAGAGCAGTAAAAATAAATGTTTTGTCATACCCGTTGTATATGGTCTGATATACCACAGCTTTCAGCCAATCAGCATTCAGGGCTCGAACCACCCAGTTTATAATATAATGAGTGATGGGGGGGACAGAGGGGTCATATGGTGAGAAGTGGGGCATCATGTTACCTTGCGGTGAACTTTAACCTGCTCGTCACCATACTTGTTGATGTCCCGGATGAGGTCGTTCATCTTACGCATCAGCTCCAGGTGGCAGAGAGCCAGCTTGTCTGATGACACCCGGAACACGTCCCACATAGGAGCAAACGTCCTAAGGGACACAGAGCAATATGTCACCTACATTATAAGGTCCTAACACCAACATCGTGTTTTTAAAAATCTATTAAATCACATACATTAACAGACGCAATTTCATACATTTTGTTTGAAAGGTAATATGACATTAAAGTTCATCTTTATGGTGCATTTCTAGAGTCAAACAAACCAAAGCAACACACACAGGAAGTGAAGAAGGCAGAGAAATCTGGGAGGATGGAGTAGACCACATCCCTGACCTGCTAGTAATCATAGACCCTGCCCTAGAGAATCAAACCATACAGACAAACTACTGTAAATCCTCTAGGCACCCTGCCAGCATATGAAACAGTTGATTTCATTATGATAAGAATACTGCTCTCTAAACTGAGATGTTGATGGCAAGAGTTTTCTAATATACTCACCCTAGTGGGCTTCCATTGCTTGCCATTTTGGACAGTTTGCTCATGGACTTGGAGTAGGTCTCCTCGATGGCAGCCCTGAGAACCACAGATAGATCGAGTCATTCCCTATGAGCCCGTGGCTGGTCAGTAACAAACCAGGCAGGGATGGTCTATGCAGTCTCAGCATTGGAAATCCTGCATCCAACTGCAGATAAATCTACACTCATACCCTTCCGGCTCACACAAAACGACTGCATATCTTACTAGCATAATATGTCATATTATTATGTACAGAGCATAATAAAGCACAAACATAAGGCATAAACAACCAGGCAAAGGGAAAATAAAGATTTAGCTTCAGTACTCTGTAAATGTTGCCCTAACCCGAATTTAAATAATAAATGGCCTCATTTCTGCAGGAGGAACATACAACTTTAATAACCATCTGTAGCACCCGCGGTAAAACCCCCTCCTCCCACCCTGACGAGGAAAGAGAAAAGTAAAACAAACAAACCGAAAACAAATCACTGCAGTTTCACAGGCCTCCGGCAACAGAGAAATCACTGCAGTTTCACAGGCCTCCGGCAACAGAGAAATCACTGCAGTTTCACAGACCTCCGGCAACAGAGAAATCACTGCAGTTTCACAGGCCTCCGGCAACAGAGAAATCACTGCAGTTTCACAGGCCTCCGGCAACAGAGAAATCACTGCAGTTTCACAGGCCTCCGGCAACAGAGAAATCCCTTGGAGAAGTAGTACACCTTGAAGATGGGTAGCTAGGCCTACAAAGGGTTCGAATACTTGACATTTCTAAATCAACCACTCCTAGATTCAAATTTTAGATACATAGAAGATCCAGATTGAGAAAGAGCTCAGACCCATAGAGAAGAGCTGAGCGTGGGGAATCAATCAGCTCAATGGGTTGGTTACTCTGTCTGTGCTGAGAGAGCCAGCTTCCCTACAACGTCTTATTTCATTTCCTGACTGACACTTTGTTGTCTCCAAGTAGATAACTGAATTTCCTCCCTTCTGTGGGGAATGTGCAGTGGTTCGGATCTTATGAATAAAAGTCAAGATTATGACAGTCTGACAGTGAAGGTTGTTGTATTCCCCTCTGTGAGAAAGGCCCTGTAAAGCCCAGGCTTAAATACTACAATGAGTGTTCTAATTCCAGCTAATTGACTCATTAACAGACTGAATAAATACAGACGACTTCTGGGAAAACAATCCAGGAGGAGGATTATTCAGACTGAGCATGTTACCTGAGATGAGTGCCCAGATAACAGGCCAAAACACAGCTACTGCGTGCGTGCGTGCGTTTGTATAGTAAGACAGGGAGCTCCTTGTCTTGAGGGCTGTGTCTTGTATTGCGTGAGAGTGTGTGTGCGCAAATGTGTGTGTGTCTCTTAACACTCCTGTGTGCTGGTCTGAGTTCAAATACAGCACAGTTGTGTGGATTAGAAGGCAGGTGTTAGTGGAGAGGAGCGGCTCCATCAAAGACGTGATCTGAAAGGAAACAGCAAGGCCCTGTAGCCAGTATTGGAATCAGTCTTTTTAAAGGCAAACTTCAAAACATTTATGAACGTCTCAAATGGATGGATGAGTTGAAAGAAAAACTGATTAAGAAACATCACTCCTATACATCCCAGCCCAAACAACACCTCACCTCTCGCGGACAAACTCTGCCAGCTCCTTGGTAGCAATCTGGCCATGCTTCATGTTGTGGTACAACATGTCAAAACCTGCATTCTTCTCCCCCTGCAAAAACACAAACACCTTGGGTGAGCCACAGAATTAGAATGTACTGCATCTCTATGAGGTGAGCTTTATAGATTCTTCAATATGAAAGACGTGACAAATGGCAGGCAATGTCAGACAAACCTACGACCCCAATAAATATATTTTTCTTATTGAAATTCGGTTAACACTTCTCTCTGTTACTTATTCATTGAGGACCCTTGGAGCATAGTAGCATTGATTTTAAAGGTAAAAAGGTGGTAAAAATGAACACAAACAAAACAAATACTGTTTTATTTCATCATGACCTTTAATATTGTGGATGTGGATGTTTCTCTTGTTGTTAAGCAACCAGAACCAAGCTTGACACAGGGTTGGAGAAAACAGAAATGTCTTTATCTCTCCAACAGAAGCATGCCTGGGAGCTGGTGATCACATAAACACAAGTCATTTAGTTTTCTTCCATGACCTTTAATACTCTGGATGTTTTTCTTGTTTCTCTTGTTGGTGGGGAACCACAAGCAATCATGACACTGGTTTAAGGAAACAAAAATAAATGTATTTTTCCTCCATCTTTCATAGACAGGCAGACAGGGCAAGCCGAGTTGTTCTTCAAAAATGTAATATTCATAGGCTGAAAGTCTTTCCACAGGGGCGATGCAAATTTCAGATCTATTGTGCTACAATAGCATAAATCAGAATTTGCATTGACCCAAAGTGTGCAGAAGCTTTCTTCTTTTGTCTTCCTGCACCTTAGCAGCCTTGTGCAGATTTCGTCAAGACTGGCATAAGGAAGGCAATGTGAACAAGAAGTTTAAGAGCCGTCCCATTTTAAAAAAACAGGATTCCCTTCCTACAGACAATACAAAACAGAGTCATCCCATAACAGTGGAGTTAACCGAGGCAGCATTAAAAATATCTTGTTCCTTGAAGCACCCACTTTGATGTCAACAGCAGGGCCGTTGTGTAGGCTGTCCAGACAGGCAGGCAGCTGCACCTCAACACTATAAATACCCTGCTAAGAGGGACACACACTTTCCCCAAGTAGCAGGGGAATGGCTGGAATGCCAAGGTTCCCAGAGAGAAGCTAGGAGCAGGCCAACACCACAACCACCGTCAGTTACAGACACCAAACACACACAGACACCAAACACACACAGACACCAAACAAACAGACAAACACAGTCGTTGCTTTGAGACATCGGTCTACTCAGGCAGGAGAGTGGTGGTGGGCTGATGGCCTCAGTAGGGTTCATAGGATTTGGATTCAAACCAGGGGTGAAAGTAAGGCGGTACGGTCCGGTACGGCGTCCCGGCAAAATAAATAGTGGGGGTACACGGTACTGGTAAAACATGAGCCCATCACAAAAACTACAAGAAAATGTCAAGAAAACTGTAGGCTATTACATCATTATTTATCATTAACGCATGTCAGAGGTATGAACAATGTGTGAATGGACTTGAAAACGTGTGGTATAGCCTACGCTCCAACGAGAACTGACATTTTGCCAAGGCAGAGATGAGTGGCCGACGCAGAGACACCTAATGACAATTACCAAATGTCATGACACGTTTTGGTGTTTTGTGTAACAGATGTCTCTTTCCATTCACCAATGTTTAGAGGATGGAAATTTGTTTCGAGTGGATGAACGTGTGCTGGTAGCCTAGTAAAGGATCCCTTTGAAGTGATTGTTTCACAAATCAGATGAGAACATCATGACTGGTTTATGCCACAATAAAAGGTAATACATTTTATAAGTGAAATGACAAATCTTTACAACTAGGACCCACAGAGATACTATTGAATTAATAGGGATTCTATATGTAATTCTATGATTAGGCCCATACATGTTTTGGGTGCATGCGCAAGCACGTGCACACATAGGAGGTCCCGTAGCAGGAAGATATTCAATCTACTTTCATCCCTGGTTCAAACCCATTTGATTAGTTAACTACAGACATACAGTACACTAGTTAATGCAGAGATGTTAATTCACATGTGATTCTCCAATACCTTTCCTTCTCTATGAAAGTGAAATGATGCCATAGTCTTTGTCCGTCCCTCTCTCCCATCTGCACCCAGAGGAAGGTGAGCTGCCCTGCTCAGCCCTAAACAAAGCAGGTATCTAGTTCCCTTCACTACGCCGACTTCTCTGACCAGGTGCTGCATCGCCCGTGTGAATGCCGCGTGTGCACACACACAGCATCTAAAACCTAGCCTACAGTATATTCATATAAGGCATAGGCCTAGGCAATCATTCAAACATATTAGCAAATAGTCAAATTAGAGTTGAAAACAAAGCAACAAGGATATTGAACCACCAGGTTCCCAAGCAGTCATCCACGCAGTGAATGTAACGATGAGTGACAGGTCATTTTCAGAAGAGGAACCCCAAACAAACAATACATAAAGCTACTACTGTTCAGTCTGTTCAACTGCCAAATAACTTCTGTGAAAGGAGTTAAAAAGAGACAACAAGGCCTTAGTCAGCTAGACAATAATAAAGGCTTATTTCACAGAAACAAAATAGCCTAATCTAGTGTGAGGCCTAATTCCCATTTTACTCTTGGTCTCAATCGAAGCTGACAATTATGGACACATTTGTGCTTTAGAAATTAGTATGACAATTATTTTATCAGTTAATGAAAACAAGAGGTACATTTAATATGGTGGCTAGGCCTTTGTGTTTCCTGAAAGGAGAAATAATGGCTAGCTAATTGGGACTCCCTAAAAACACAATAAAAGTGACTTTTCAAAGCAGGTTAGGAGAGCATTTTCGCTAACCCTAACCCTTTTTCTAACCTTAACCTAATTCGCCTAACCTGTTACAACAAAGTCATAGCTGTATGGAAGTGGCGTGTTCCTCTGGTAACAGACACAGTGGGAGAGAAGGATGACCGCTCTTTCATTAATGTGACAGACAGACGTGTGTGTGTGTTTGTGTGAGTGTGTTTGTGTGAGTGTGTGTATATGTTGAGGTGTGTCAGTATCGCACCCTAAAAAACGTAGAATCCAAAGATGTCCTAAGAGTTAAATCCATGAATAAAATGATGAATTATAGCAAAACCTATCACCATCTGAGATCATTCATCATACAGATCTGTTTCATATTCCACACCATGACCAGTGGTCTTTGACAGTTATTTTTCGGTCTGATTTATGCAGCTCCCCTACTTCTCCCTCCCTCCTTTTAAATCAATGAAGACGAAGAGCGTTTTGCTCATGCAAGAGAGAGAGAGCTCATTACAATTACAATGTGAGCTGTGGGAGACGAGAGGAGCGACAGAGGGTCTGTGTGGAGGTATCCAGACAACTCACAAATTTCTCACCATGGCTGATATTCATTAGTACTCCATGCAACACTGAGCAGCATCTTCTGTCAGTCCAGTCAGGTCAGGTAATGGCCAGGTTAATGTTTTACAGCTATTAGTTACACAGTTGTTGTTTAACACACATCACCGGACCCATCTGTTCCTCCTGAGGAGCAGGGTGCCCCGTGGGATGTTTGGGTTGGGGGAGGGGGTCTTCTCCCTCACTCCTTCCATAACTCCCTAATCTCTCGCCCAGCGAGCGGTGCTCCCACGTCAGCAGCCTCCCCTTTCCTCACTCTCTCTCTCCCTCCCTCCCTGCCTGCTCACTGCTGTTAGCCAGCCAAGACTTGCAGCCCCATTTCATCTTTGTACTGTGCAGTGCACGGTGGCCAGCTAATGACTCTCACTTGATTCAAATTAGAAGTATCCCTGGCTTTCCCCCTCAGGTCTGAACAAAGCTAATTACTGTACAGACGAGGCATGGGATGCTCCTTTAAATGGTGTGCTGGAAGGCAAACCTCAATGGGAACTGGCGTGGTTAGATAAAGAAGCTGTGTCTGGATCCCCCTGCTAGAGCGTGTCCGGCTTAATTGGGTAAGTGGAGGATGGGGGGTGTGGACTAGAGACCTCAGCCTCAGATGCAGTGTTGGTGAGGTTCACTGCCTGACCAGAGTAGAGACATACTATGGGTTGTGGTTCAGTCCCTGACCAGTAAACCGGAGGGGAATATGGTTCACTCCTTGGCCAGTTACCAGAGGGTTTGTGGTTGTTCACCAGTGTAGCGCTGCACTATGAGATCAGATCACACACACGCCTGTCCCTGTTGCCACACTGATTAATGGCTTCAGTGCCCCATTGGGCCGCAGGTGAGTGGATGGAGCCCAGTGGTACACGTGAGACCCTGAGCGCAGGACTAACCCATGACAGAGACTGAGAACAATGCACTAACACACACACACACACACACACACACACCGCAGTCCACGCTCATGCTTTTATTACCATCACCAGAACATTTGCATCTGGCCTCAGGAACCTGACGGCAAATTCCCTGAAATGTCTCTTTATGTAACTGGACAGTGAGCCACTATCCTGCTGCCATTCATCTAATTTAGCAGAGCAAAGAACAGTTCCACATGGAGGAAGGGGAGATAAAGATTTAAAGAGGAAAGAGAGAGAGAGGTAGAGAGAGGCAGAGGGAGAGAGAGAGCGATGTGAAGAGAGAGAGAAAGTGGGTCCTCTGGTAACATTCCTGGCCACTGGGTTTACACCCGTCCACTCCGGACCTCAGAGCCCTGTGAGTCCCAGAGACACAGCCAGGCACAAATTGACGAGGGAAGAGCAGAGCAGATGCAACACTGGGTTCATTCTGCTGATGAATGATTGGTTGGGTATAAATTCACCTAGGAGAGCAGGGCCCATTTCTTGGAACAAACGGACAGTGTGCCCAGATGAAGCCTAGCAGTGAACTATATAAAAAGACATGGACGATTCATCCAACTCACAGTCCTGCTAGAATTCCTACTGGTAGTGCATTAGTGGGTCTGGACTCTGGAGGAACGGACTGAACGGACCGTTCTTCGGTAAAAAGGAGAAATTTAAGGATTCATGGTGTTCAATGCAAGAGCGCCCATTCAGCCATCTCAAAGGGGAATTGGATATCAGGGGCATATTCTCATGAACTTAACAGGCATTAACATGTCTGTGTTAGGATCAGTGGCGATTTTAGCATGTCAAGCCCAGAAACTGGTAGGTCCTACATAAAGCTGTCCCAACAGCAGAGCTTTCTTTTCAGCACCATGGAGTGAATCCTTACCACTGTTACACCTGGCTATCAGCGGAGCCTTGTCTGGCAGCAAAACAGTTAATTCAGCCTCATTTACTGCCTTTTTTAAAAACATAGCTGATATCGCTGACTTGCTTAAACAAATATGGTTTCTACTGACAATTGAGATGTACAAACTATGGCATTAGGGAACGATGAGCAGATAAGAGGCAATCCGTAATTCCGATTAAGACATGAAATGAGCGAGCTAAGACGGATGTAGTCAATATAACTATTTGTTCAGCACTTGTACAGCAACAGCATTCAGAACATGGGCCGTTCTTACAGTATTCTCCCTGTACACCAAGTCAGAACCGTAGGATAAATAAAGGGGGCATATAAGCAGACAATGAAAGCTCTTACAATATTCGATGATGACACTTCTCTAAAACAGGCTATAGGCTACATGTGCACCACCAAGTCAGAACAGTAGGCTAAGTTATGAGGGGGAAAGGGACCAAATTATTAGGGTGAGGCACATGGGCTACAAACAGCTTACTACACAACATGCACTTAGTATGACTTTCTTAGCTACAGTATACATATCTCCCTGGCATATTGCATAATTTATGCAGCAGTATACAATATATTTTTGGACTCACAGTTGTGCTGTGCTCACTTGAACAGGAAGGTGGCGCGGCGGTCCTTCTTGTGGACAATATTTGTCATAAAACTTTGTCAAAGTATGGCATTCTCTGGATTTAAGGTGCTTTCAAGATAGCTGGGAACTCTGAAAAAAACAAGGTCGAATCATGACGTCAGTGAATTTCAGGTCGGAGCTCTAGAAAGAGGACTGAGTTCCCGACTTGAATTCCGATTCGGACGACCGTTGAAAACTTATTTTCCCAGTCGGAACTCGAGTTCCCAGTTGTCTTGAACTCACTGAAGTCTGAGATTTCCCAGTTCTGAGTTTCCAGTTGTTTTGAACGTGGCAGAAGTCATGCTGGCTTGACAGCACAGCCAATATATTCAACCTTTTCTGGCCCATGGTGTTGCGTGTGAATGTTTATCCTTTTAAGCTTGGAAAAGAGACCCTTAAACCCAGACTTGGACCACACACACACACACACACACACACACTCTCCACCAAATAGCAGGCAGGGGAAGCAAAATAGGGACGCTTGCAGTTAGCCACTGATTCCTTCCAAACCACTCATTGTTGAATTTGCAATTTCCAACTTGTTGTATAATGTTACTGTCCAATGGTCGATGAACACCGATACGTTTTATCTATAATTTCTCTTCATATGACAAGGATGGGCTCCCGAGTGGCGCAGCGGTCTAAGGACACTGCATCTCAGTGCTTGAGGCGTCACTACAGACCCCCTGGTTCGATTCCAGGCTGTATCACAACCGGACGTGATTGGGAGTCCCATAGGGCGGCGCACAATTGGCCCAGCATCGTCCGGGTTTGGCCGGTGTAGGCCGTCATTGTAAATAAGAATTTGTTCTTAACGGACTTGCCTAGTTAAATAAAAAAATAAAAAAAAGGACCAAAAAAAAAAAAGACAAGGATTTACCAGTAGATTGTCCATGTGATTCATGATGATGACTGCTAGCTAAGATTTTGAAAGTATGATGTTGACATGATCAGTCCAATCAAAGCTACGGTAGATATAACGTGATTTGATGTCATTTTATTTGTGGCCAATGACCTTGAGCCTTCTTGGTTGGGCACTTCTAATGTAAATCTATGGCAGCACCCAAGGGGGCTTGAACTGCCTAGCTCTCCCTGTAGATTTTGAGGTGACATAGTGTCCCCATGAGTGACAGAACACTGAGCCAATCACAGCGCAACTAGAGAAGATTACCAACCCCTACGCTCTGTATTTTCCGCTGGCTGCCCCTCCACCACAGAAAGCACTGAGCTAGGCTGAAACACCTGCGTTTTGGAGCTGCCTTACTCAAGAAAGCAAAAAAGAGACCATGTTTCTATGCGGCTTTATTAACTCAATTTCTTTTTTTTTACATTGTTTGCAAACTGATATGTGACACGTATTAATGCCAAAATAACATGGAAAACAGGCAACATTTTTAAATATTTTTTAGCTAAACAGGTGGGGCTTAAAACAGGTGCCCTGAATGACGGGTCGCCACAGGTTTTGATGAAAGCACTGAATGGAGCGTCACACCCAAACTGTACACACCCTTCTTTCATCTGAAAGGCAGGAGTCGTTCTACTCCCAAGGACTTGTAGTGAGGACTTCATTAAGAATGCACCTAATCATAACAGATGGCTATTCCTCCTCCATCCCTCTGTTGACTAATTAAGACTAGGAAGAGAAGCCAACATCATTATGTAGATGGCCAACATGGAATTCACACAGTGCCGCCTGTAGACACAGAATGATGTTCGACTGTCAGAGAGAGAGTTGCATCCCTCCTGGTTTGAGTTGGAGGGAAGCACCTTTGACCGGTCTTTGTTCCACACAATGGAGGTCTCCTCTCCCCTCCATAGGCATGGAGGCCCTGCTGCCTGCAGCCACACAAAGGCAGCCAGGATCACATGACTTGCTGCTGGTAAGCCAGCAGGCAGGCAGAGCAGACAAGACAGCCCGGCTCGCTCTGCTCCTCACAATAACACACTCAACTCTGCCTCTATCACAGTCAGTCACACAACACAACTCTACACAATGAGGACAGCGGGGATCCAGCACCACAGAGAGAGGCTTCATGTACACACACACTGGCACATACTTTCTGAGGCAGTGAATGAGGAACGGGGAGAGAAACAAACAATGATCATAATCAGCATAATCAGATATCCCCCAACAACTAAACAATAATAAGAACTTTAGATTCTCTAAATGTTGCGACCTATAAAAACCTTTGAATTCAATCAATGATAGGAATCTCATTTCCTTAAGCAAATTGAATTCCTGGCTGGCTGGTATGGTTTCCTCTCTGACTCAATTGTTACTTTTACTTTTTGGCACAGTGTCTTACCCAAAATATCCTTCCCCTTTCACGGTGAATGGGCAGTGGTGGTATATTAGAACTAGGACACACCTGAATAGCTCAGCCAGGTGTGCAGAGGAGAGCAGAACACAGTCATAGTCCCCTAGGAATAGCTGACTAAGGCCTGTTCCAGTCTCTCTTATCAGGCTAGTGGGGCTACAGTCAGGGTTACATTGCTGTCATGCTTATTCTGTGCAGTTAATACACAGGTTATAGGACTGTTATAACATATTGATGTGGTTCCTGTTGGTTCCCTTTCCAGGCATTGTAAAGATGTAATGATCTGTGTTCATCTGTGTCAGGAATGAACCCTGTGCCCCTACTCCCACCATCACCAAGGAGACTAGGCAGCCTCCGCTCTATGATTCAGATAGATAGATCACTCAGGAGACAGATTGGTAGAGTGCAACATGTCGTGCTGTAGGGTGGTGGTTCAGTATCATTCACAGAATATGAACTCTGAATGTAAGGCATCATGACTCATATGTGATTCAGGGAAAGGATGGAATTGGCCAGTCAACCTACATGCATTGGTGTCCGCCATGTACAGAAGAGTTGTACAGCATTATCTGAAGGGTAGGCCCATTATTTATACTGTCAGTGTCACATACGGTCTGAGTGTTTGGGTTTTTATTAGCTTCTGCAATCTGCATAGAAATGAGTAGTAAAAGGGTCTAAAGTTTTCATGCATAATGGCCAAATAAAATAAATTGTCATATAAAGCAATCTGACTGTCTGTTTTCACCTCTCCATGTTGAGCTGCCAATGATCCTCATATAACATAATAATACATCCAATAGACTCACCCAGAAGTTGTTTTTAAAGAATTCCATCTTCACTCAGAGTTTTATAGGGATCTGCAATAAAGAGAGGAAAAAAACATTACAGATGGGACAGAAACAGAAACGAGGCTACAGCCCTCTGCTCTCCTGTATCATTGACCAGAGTTAGCCAGTGGCACTGAACCAATATTCACACCAATAATGAGACAACTCTACAAATGGAATGTTGTTTTCCCTGTGCTGAATTGCTATCGATCTCTTGCTCTTGCAGTGGGCTGAATCTCCCTTTGTACAGGTACTGTAACAATGTATTGGGTTTCATGAAAAGCCTCCTCTCAGACCCAAAAATAGACACAGTGACACTTTATTGTACAAAGAATAAAGGAACACTTCTGGAGGCGGACAGGGAGTGGTCTTATTAAAAACAAGCTGGCATAGGCAAGTAGACAATGGACACCTTTAGCTGAATGAAGGCCAGAGTGTACTGAGGGGACAGCCAGGGTTTGTTTAACCGTTCACTTCAAAAGAGATGGAGAGGCTGACACAGGGGAGGGAGGGAGATTGATCTGACACAGCCACCAAGGAGTGTGCCCTATCACGATGAATAAAGATCTCTCCGGTGTGCTCACTCACTCTGGTTGTAAAGAGCTGAGAGACTAGCCATACCTCTAATAGCGCCCCCCCCCCCCTCCCCCCCTCCCCCAGTCACCCACCTCCCAGATTGGGCCTGGAGAGATTGACAGCAGCAGGTCTACTAAGGTGAGGACACACACAAAGAGCCTCTACAACACAGTGACTCAACAAGAACCATGGTCTCTTTTCTGACTGTGAAGTGAGATTCGTGACCATTGGCTTCTGTTCTGGCAGAGCAGATTTCAATTGACTGAAGGCAGGAGGAAACACAGCAACAGCTGAACATACACCTCCTGACCCCCTATAGCGTTTCTCCACCCATCCACACTGCCTTCCACTGTGGGGGATTTCATTCCTGCTCAATTAGCTCCTAGCTATCTGCTCATCATGAATAATAGTAGCCTTCCAAGCACATAGCAAATATGACTGAGTGAGTGAGTGAGTGAGTGTGTGAGTGAGTGAGTGTGTGAGAGTGTGTGTGTGTGACTCTGCAGGCTCAGTGTTTCTCCAGGGAAGGCCTGGCTGTAGGTTCCCTGCTATTTTGCTAAGAGGAGAGGGTAAGAGGGGATGGTATGGTCCCTGCCTGGATATGTTATATTGTGCGGACGGCAGGGCTTTCTCAGAGGAGTGGCTGACCCTAGCTCAGGCAGGACAACCTGCTGTTGGACAGGGGAACACACACACACACCACACACAAGCTCTCACACACACACACACACACCATTAATTAACTCAGCACTTGGACTCGGGGCCCCTGGAGAGGGCTCTCATTTGGCAGCATGGCTGAAAGTGAGATACTGCAACCAGCTCCCAAGTACCCACTCTGCTCTCCAACACAGACCCAGGGTGATAGAGTAGACGAGGAGAGGTGGAATCAGTTAGACAGAGGGATCTGTTTGGCTGTCTAGCTGGACCACTGGCTGGTGGTGGTGAGCGGCAAGCATAAAGTGCCATGCTTCACACATATTTGCTGAGAGGAGAGATTGGTGTGGGGCTAGAATCAGTGGTGTAGTGGAGGCTATACGCAGGTATATATTATATATATATACAGTGGGGAAAAAAAGTATTTAGTCAGCCACCAATTGTGCAAGTTCTCCCACTTAAAAAGATGAGAGAGGCCTGTAATTTTAATCATAGGTACACGTCAACTATGACATACAAAATGAGAAAAAAAAATCCAGAAAATCACATTGTAGGATTTTTAATGAATTTATTTGCAAATTATGGTGGAAAATAAGTATTTGGTTAATAACAAAAGTTTCTCAATACTATGTTATATACCCTTTGTTGGCAATGACACAGGTCAAACGTTTTCTGTAAGTCTTCACAAGGTTTTCACACACTGTTGCTGGTATTTTGGCCCATTCCTCCATGCAGATCTCCTCTAGAGCAGTGATGTTTTGGGGCTGTCGCTCGGCAACACAGACTTTCAACTCCCTCCAAAGATTTTCTATGGGGTTGAGATCTGGAGACTGGCTAGGCCACTCCAGGACCTTGAAATGCTTTTTACGAAGCCACTCCTTCGTTGCCCGGGCGGTGTGTTTGGGATCATTGTCATGCTGAAAGACCCAGCCACGTTTCATCTTCAATGCCCTTGCTGATGGAAGGAGGTTTTCACTCAAAATCTCACGATACATGGCCCCATTCATTCTTTCCTTTACACGGATCAGTCGTCCTGGTCCCATTGCAGAAAAACAGCCCCAAAGCATGATGTTTCCACCCCCATGCTTCACAGTAGGTATGGTGTTCTTTGGATGCAACTCAGCATTCTTTGTCCTCCAAACACGACGAGTTGAGTTTTTACCAAAAAGTTCTATTTTGGTTTCATCTGACCATATGACATTCTCCCAATCCTCATCTGGATCATCCAAATGCACTCTAGCAAACTTCAGACGGGCCTGGACATGTACTGGCTTAAGCAGGGGGACACGTCTAGGCACTGCAGGATTTGAGTCCCTGGCGGCGTAGTGTGTTACTGATGGTAGGCTGTGTTACTTTGGTCCCAGCTCTCTGCAGGTCATTCACTAGGTCCCCCCGTGTGGTTCTGGGATTTTTGCTCACCGTTCTTGTGATCATTTTGACCCCACGGGGTGAGATCTTGTGTGGAGCCCCAGATCGAGGGAGATTATCAGTGGTCTTGTATGTCTTCCATTTCCTAATAATTGCTCCCACAGTTGATTTCTTCAAACCAAGCTGCTTACCTATTGCAGATTCAGTCTTCCCAGCCTGGTGCAGGTCTACAATTTTGTTTCTGGTGTCCTTTGACAGCTCTTTGGTCTTGGCCATAGTGGAGTTTGGAGTGTGACTGTTTGAGGTTGTGGACAGGTGTCTTTTATACTGATAACAAGTTCAAACAGGTGCCATTAATACAGGTAACGAGTGGAGGACAGAGGAGCCTCTTAAAGAAGAAGTTACAGGTCTGTGAGAGCAAGAAATCTTGCTTGTTTGTAGGTGACCAAATACTTATTTTCCACCATAACTTGCAAATAAATTCATAAAAAATCCTACAATGTGATTTTCTGGATTTTTTTTCTTCTCAATTTGTCTGTCATAGTTGACGTGTACCTATGATGAAAATTACAGGCCTCTCTCATCTTTTTAAGTGGGAGAACTTGCACAATTGGTGGCTGACTAAATACTTTTTTTCCCCACTGTATATATATACATACATACATACACACACGTCTTCATCGACCTGGCCAAGGCTTTCGACTCTGTCAACCACCGCATTCTTATTGGCAGACTAAATAGCCTTGGTTTCTCAAATGACTGCCTCGCCTGGTTCACCAACTACTTCTCAGATAGAGTTCAATGTGTCAAATCGGAGGGCCTGTTGTCTGGACCTCTAGCAGTCTCTACGGGCGTGCCACAGGGTTCAATTCTCGGGCCGACTCTATTCTCTGTGTATATCAATAATGTCGCTCTTGCTGCTGGTGACGCTCGGATCCCCCTCTAGCAGGACACCATTTTTATAATTGGCCTTCTTTGGGACACTTTTTAACAAACCTCCAAACGAGTTTCAACGCCATAAACATCTTCCGTTGCCTACAATTTGCCTTTTAAACACTAGTAAACTAATGCATGCTCTTAACCAAACGTGCTTGCACCCCCACGTATAAAATCACTACTCTCGGTGTATGACTAAGTATGTGGACAACACCCAAAGCATGATGTTTCCACCCCCATGCTCACAGTAGGTATGGTGTTCTTTGGTGCAACGCTTTGCTTTGTTCAAACACGACGAGTATTTTAGCCAAAAAGTTTTGGTTCTCTGCCAAATGACTGCCCTCGCCTTGGTCACCAACTACTTCTCAGATTAGAGTTCAGTGTGTCAATCGGAGGGCCTGTTGTCTGGACCGTCTACGTCCCTGCGGGAGTGTGCCACAGAGGTTCAATTCTCAGGCCGACTCTATCTGCAGGTATATCAATATGTCGCTCTTGCTGCTGGTGACGCTCGGATCCACCTCTATGCATGACGACACCAGGTTTGTATACCCATCGGGGCCCTTCATTGGACACTGTTAACAAACCTCCAAACGAGCTTCAACGCCATAAAACACTCCTTCCGTTGCCTCCAACTGCTCTTAAACACTAGTAAAACTAAATGCATGCTCTTCAACCAAACGCTGCTTGCACCCGCCCACCCGTCTAGAATCACTACTCTCGGTGGGTCTGACCTAGAGTATGTGGACAACTACAAATACCTAGGTGTCTGGTTAGACTGTAAACTCTCCTTCCAGACTCACATTAAGCATCTCCAATCAAAAGTTAGATCTAGAATCGGCTTCCTATTTCGCAACAAAGCCTCCTTCACTCATGCTGCCAAACATGCCCTCGTAAAACTGACTATCCTACCGATCCTTTACTTCGGCGATGTCATTTACAAAATAGCCTCCAACACTCTACTCAGTAAATTGGATGTAGTCTATCACAGTGCCATCTGTTTTGTCACCAAAGCCCCATATACTACCCACCATTGTGACCTGTACGCTCTTGTTGGCTGGCCCTCACTACATATTCGTCGCCAAACCCACTGGCTCCAGGTCATCTATAAATCACTGCTAGGCAAATCCCTGTCTTATCTTAGCTCACTGGTCACCATAGCAACACCCACCCGTAGTCTGCGCTCAAGCAGGTATATCTCACTGGTCATCCCCAAAGCCAACACCTCCTTTGGCTGCCATTCCTTCCAGTTCTCTGCTGCAAATGACTGGAACGAACTGCAAAAATCTCTGAAGCTGGAGACTTATCTCCCTCACTAACTTTTAGCGTCAGTTGTCAGAGCAGCTTACCGATCACTGCACCTGTACACAGCCATTCTGTAATTAGCCCACCCAACTACCTCATCCCCATTATTTTGCTAATTTACACCCCAGTATCTCTATTTGCACATCTATCATTCCAGTGTTAATACGAAAATTGTAACTATTTTGCACTATGGCCTATTTATTGCCTTACCTCCATAACTTACTACATTCGCACACATATATTTTCTGTTGTATTTTTGACTTTATGTTTACCCCATATGTAACTCTGTGTTGTTGTTTTTAATCGCACTGCTTTGCTTTATCTTGGCCAGGTCGCAGTTGTAAATGAGAACTTGTTCTCAACTGGCTTACCTGGTTAAATAAAAAATATATATAAAAAAAGAAATATTCCATATACCCAGCGCGAATGTTCCCAATGCAATTTGTGGGGAAACAACGTTCTAAAATGCGCATGCGAGCGGTTTCATGGACAGAGATGGACATTTCCGTTAAAATGTAGAAAGAGGGGAGATCTAAAGACGCAACATATACTTTCCCTCAACATTTCTCTGGTAGGATTTTGGCTTGGCTTCTTTGAAGCAAGTTAAGACCGGTCTCATAATATGAAGTAAAATGTCCAGGTTTATGACAGGCTATAACAGTCTTCTGGTAGATAGAAAGGCTTTCCCAGAAACCTACTCAATTAAAACATTTGGTAGCTACAAAGTAGCGTATGCCTACCAGAATGATATCATGATTATTTGCATCAATCCAGTGGGTATATGTCATGTGCGCTACAGAAACACGCTAACCAAACAACAGTGCTAGGTGCAGGGGCACTTGAATTAAAGTCTAACTACACATAATTTAACATTTCTTCGATTTTTCCCAGACCTCAAAAGTGGTCTCCTGTTGTGGTTTAAGCATTGTTGTGGACTTAGAAAACAACACAATTGGATGTTCTATTAAAAAAGTGTGGATTTGAGAGTGACCAGAACAGGATTTCTGTTAGGAAAATGTGGCGCCATACAACGTGACCGGGAAGATTTTAATTTACCGTCCCCATATGCATTGGGCGTCCCATTAGGGTGTCCACCCACGGTGCTCAGAATGACAAAAATCACATTTAGATGATGGTAATTCATTTTAACATACCATGCAACTCCTGTAATGAAGCAGCCAATAAAACGTAATTTTCAAACATTTGCCAAAATGCAATTTGCGGGTAAACACCAATTCTAAACACTGCACCTGATGCGAGCGGTATATGACAGAGATGAAAATCTCCATTATAAACTTAGAAAGAGGGTGAAACTATAATGGGTTGCTAACATGAGTGCCTTCGGCTTCTGGACAACGAAAGAAAGTTGATATGAAAACCAATAGAACAGGAGAGAAATGGCATATGAGGAAGTCTTTCATAGGCGGGGCGCGAGGCAAAAGGCCTAGCTGATTATTGAGTTGCGGCTGTCAGTGAAAAGCATCTAAAATGTGTGTGAAGATAATGTTTCTTGAATATACACTACCGTTCAAAAGTTTGGGGTCACTTAGAAATGTCCTTGTTTTCGAAAGAAAATCAATTTTTTTGTCCATTAAAATAACATCAAATTGATCAGAAATACAGTGTAGACATTCTTAATGTTGTAAATGGCTATTGTAGCTGGAAACGGCAGATTTTTAATGGAATATCTACATAGGCGTACAGAGGCCCATTATCAGCAACCATCAGTCCTGTGTTCCAATGGCACGTTGTGTTTGCTAATCCAAGTTTATCATTTTAAAAGGCTAATTCGATCATTAGAAAACCCTTTTGCAAATATGTTGGCACAGCTGAAAACTGTTGTGCTGATTAAAGAAGCAATAAAACTGGCCTTCTTGAGACTAGTTGAGTATCTGGAGCATCAGCAATTGTGGGTTTGATTACAGGCTCAAAATGGCCAGAAACAAATAACTTTCTTCTGAAACTCAGTCTATTCTTGTTCTGAGAAACTCAACTGGCAGCTTCATTAAATAGTACCCGCAAAACACCAGTCTCAACGTCAACAGTGAAGAGGCGGTTCCGGGATGCTGACCTTCTAGGCAGAGTTGCAAAGAAAAAGCCATATCTCAGACTGGCCAATAAAAAGAAAAGATTAAGATGGGCTCCTTGGTCTTCATGGTGCTGCTTGCTTGGTGGTGCCCCTTGCTTAGTGGTGTTGCAGACTCTGGGGCCTTTCAGAACAGGTGTATATATACACTGAGATCATGTGACAGATCATGTGACACAGAATGCACAATTATGTGACTTCTGAAGGTAATTGGTCTTATTTTAGGGGCTTCATAGCAAAGGGGGTGAATACATATGCATGCACCACCTTTCCGTTATCTATTTTTTTTTAAACAAGTTATTTTTTTCATTTCACTTCACCAATTTTGACTATTTTGTGTATGTCCATTACATGAAATCCAAATAAAAAGTAATTTATATTACAGGTTGTAATGCAACAAAATAGGAAAAACACCAAGGGGGATTAATACTTTTGCAAGGCACTGTAGAAGTTGTAAATATGGCACTGGAACTGACCCTGTATGCTTACTTAATCATGTTCTTCTTATTTCTATCACTTTCCCTTGCGCAAAAACAGCTGTCTATCCCGAGCTCACTGGCCAGAAACTGAGGGCCTGGAATAGTTGATACAATGTTGCAAGTTCACTAGAGACAGCTTTCCTGGATCCAGTTGATTGATTTGATAATGTTGCACTTCACTAGTTATAGCTCAAGTCAAGACAGAAAGGCAGGCAGACAGGCTGAGTAGAGAGATGAATGTGATTGAAAGAACCTGCATTTATGTATTTTTACTTACTTGACAATGGAAGTTATAGGCCAACGTCTGCATTGGCCATCTCTCAGTTCCATGCGCTCATTTAGACAGCCAATGATCACGGTGTATCAATGTGTCCATATGGGCAGAGGCCGGTGCTCTCACATTAGTTTAAATTTTACTTTTATATTTGTATCATTTTAATTAAGATTGTTATGATTAACCACGAGACAAATGATTGAAAAATGAAAATGTAATTATTGAAATGAAAATACGCATATGAAAATCATACAGTGCATTCGGAAAGTATTCAGACCCCTTGACTTTTTCCACATTGTTACGTTACAGCCTTACTCTAAAATTGATGAAATATTTCCCCCCCTCATCAATCTACACACAATCCCCCATAATGACAAAGTGAAAACAGGTTTTTAGAAAATGTTGCAAATATATAACAAATAAAAAACAAATACCTTATTTACATAAGTATTCAGAAACACTGCTATGAGACTCGAAATTGAGATCAGGTGCATCCGGTTTCCATTGATCATCTTTGAGATAGTTCTACAACTTGATTGGAGCCCACCTGTGGTAAATTCAATTGATTGGATGTGATTTGGAAAGGCACACACCTGTCTATATAAAAAGGTCACACAGTTGACAGTGCATGTCAGAGCAAAAACCAAGTCATGAGGTCGAAGGAATTGTCCGTAGAGCTCCGAGACAGGATTGTGTCAAGGCACAGATCTGGGGAAGGGTACAAAAACATTTCTGTAGCATTGAAGATCCCCAAGAACACAGTGGCCTCCATCATTCTTAAAAATTGAAGAAGTTTGGAACCACCAAGACTCTTCCTAGAGCTGGCCGCCCGGGCCAAACTGAGCAATCGGGGGAGAAGAGCCTTGGTCAGGAAGGTGACCAAGAACACAAATGGTCACTCTGACATAGCTGCAGAGTTCCTCTGTGGAGATGGGAGAACCTTCCAGAAGGACAACCATCTCTGCAGCACTCCACCAATCAGGCCTTTATGGTAGAGTGGCCAGACGGAAGCTACTCCTCAGTAAAAGGCACATGACAGCCCGCTTGGAGTTTGCCAAAAGGCACCTAAATAACTTAGACCATGAGAAACAAGATTCTCTGATCTGATGAAACCAAGATTGAACTCTTTGGCCTGAATGCCAAGCGTCACATCTGGATGGAAACCTGGCACCATCCCTATCCTATGGTGAAGCATGGTGGTAGTAGTATCATGCTGTGGATATGTTTTTCAGTGGCAGGGACTGGGAGACTAGTCAGGATCGAGGGAAAGATGAACGGAGCAAAGTACAGCGAGATCCTTGATGAAAACCTGCTCTAGAGTGCTCAGGACCTCAGACTGGGGCGAAGGTTCACCTTCCAACAGGACAACGACCCTAATCACACAGCCAAGCCAACGCAGAAGTGGCTTCGGGACAAGTCTCTGAATGTCCTTGAGTGGCCCAGCCAGAGCCCGGACTTGAACCCGATCGAACATCCCTGGAGAGACCTGAAAATAGCTGTGCAGCGACGCTCCCCATTCAACCTGAGAGCTTGAGAGGATCTGCAGAGAACAATGGGAGAAACTCCCCAAATACAGGCGTGCCAAGCTTATAGCGTCATACCCAAGAAGACTCAAGGCTGTAATCGCTGCCAAAAGGCACTTCAACAAAGTACTGAGTAAAGTGTCTGAATACTTATGTAAAACGTGAAATTTCAATTTTTTAAATACATTTGATGTTTCTAAAAACCTGTTTCACCTTGTCATTATGGGATATTGTGTGTAGATTGATGAGGGGAAAAAACTAATTGATCAATTTTAGAATAAGGCTGTAACATAACAAAATGTGGAAAAATACTTTCCGAATGCACTGTAACCGGCACGCAGATCGTTAGAAATGTTAGGATCAATTGTATGCTTCCCCAAACTTGAAACTCATGCACCTCCTATCAAGTCTTTATACCAGAATTGCCTCCATGCGTCTATGGTCAGATTTTCAAGCAAGGTAAGACATGCCTCATAATATGAAGTAAAATATTCATGTTTCAAACAATTAAGTATGTTTTCAAAATGCATACTGCCTCCAGCTCACATTGTGGCGGGTGACGTGCTGATAGACTGCCTACAGTTTTTTTTCTCCCGGTCAATTTGGCCAGCAAAATTTTATTTACAATGAGGGGAAAGAGTATTTGATCCCCTGCTGATTTTGTACGTTTGCCCACTGACAAAGAAATGATCAGTCTATAATTTTAATGGTAGGTTTATTTGAACAGTGAAAGACAGAATAACAAAAAAATCCAGAAAAACACGTCAAAAATGTTATAAATTGATTTGCATTTTAATGAGGGAAATAAGTATTTGACCCCCTCTCAATCAGAAAGATGTCTGGCTCCCAGGTGTCTTTTATACAGGTAACGAGCTGAGATTAGGAGCACACTCTTAAAGGGAGTGCTCCTAATCTCAGTTTGTTACCTGTATAAAAGACACCTGTCTACAGAAGCAATCAATCAGATTCCAAACTCTCCACCATGGCCAAGACCAAAGATCTCTCCAAGGATGTCAGGGACAAGATTGTAGACCTACACAAGGCCTACAAAAAACATTAAAAGGCAAAATAAATGCTAAAAACTAACAGAAATTAAAAGAGAACATCCAGTTTCCAGCTTGATGAGAAGGTGACAACAGTTGGTGCGATTATTCGCAAATGGAAGAAACAAAAGAACTGTCAATCTCCCTCGGCTTGGGGCTCCATGCAAGATCTCACCTCGTGGAGTTTGAATGATCATGAGAACGGTGAGGAATCAGCCCAGAACTACACGGGAGGATCTTGTCAATGATCTCAAGGCAGCTGGGACCATAGTCACCAAGAAAACAATTGGTAACACACTACGCCGTGAAGGACTGAAATCCTGCAGCGCCCACAAGGTCCCCCTGCTCAAGAAAGCACATATACAGGCCCGTCTGAAGTTTGCCAATGAACATCTGAATGATTCAGAGGAGAACTGGGTGAAGGTGTTGTGGTCAGATGAGACCAAAATCGAGCTCTTTGGCATCAACTCAACTCGCCGTGTTTGGAGGAGGAGGAATGCTGCCTATGACCCCAAGAACACCATCCCCACCGTCAAACATGGAGGTGGAAACATTATGCTTTGGAGATGTTTTTCTGCTAAGGGGACAGGACAACTTCACCGCATCAAAGGGACGATGGACGGGACCATGTACCGTCAAATCTTGGGTGAGAACCTCCTTCCCTCAGCCAGGACATGGAAAATGGGTCGTGGATGGGTATTCCAGCATGACAATGACCCAAAACACACGGCCAAGGCAACAAAGGAGTGGCTCAAGAAGAGCACATTAAGGTCCTGGAGTGGCCTAGCCAGTCTCCAGACCTTAATCCCATAGAAAATCTGTGGAGGGAGCTGAAGGTTCAAGTTGCTAAACGTCAGGCTCGAAACCTTAATGACTTGGAGAAGATCTGCAAAGAGGAGTGGGACACAATCCCTCCTGAGATGTGTGCAAACCTGGTGGCCAACTACAAGAAACTTCTGACCTCTGTGATTGCCAACAAGGGTTTTGCCACCAAGTACTAAGTCATGCTTTGCAGAGGGGTCAAATACTTATTTCCCTAATTAAAATGCAAATCAATTTAACATTTTTGACATGCGTTTTTCTGGATCAAATCCTTTTTTCCCTCACGGTAAATAAATAAAAATAATAATCATCGGCTTTTCTTTTTTTGTGGGGGGGACAAAAGTTGGCAATAACCAGCTAACGGAAACCCTGGACCAGCGGTAAACAAAGACTAGAACAGTGTTGTGCATTGAGATTCCTCTGGTAATTTACAGTTGAAGTCGGAAGTTTACATACACTTAGGTTGGAGTCATTAAAACTTGTTTTTTCAACCACTACACAAATTTCTTGTTAACAAAATATAGTTTAGGCAAGTCGGTTAGGACATCTACTTTGTGCATGACACAAGTCATTTTTCCAACAATTGTTTAGAGACAGATTATTTCACTTATAATTCACTGTATCACAATTCCAGTGGGTCAGAAGTTTACATACACTAAATTGACTGTGCCTTTAAACAGCTTGGAAAATTCCAGAAAATGATGTCATGGCTTTAGAAGCTTCTGATAGGCTAATTGACAATTTGAGTCAATTGAAGGTGTACCTGTGGATGTATTTCAAGGCCTACCTTCAAACTCAGTGACTCTTTGCTTGACATCATGGGAAAATTAAAAGAAATCAGCCAAGACCTCACAAAAAACATTGTAGACCTCCACAAATCTGGTTCATCCTTGGGAGCAATTTCCAAACGCCAAACTACAATTTGCAACTGCACATGGGGACAAAGATCGTACTTTTTGGAGAAATGTCCTCTGGTCTGATGAAACAAAAACAGAACTGTTTGGCCATAATGATCATCGTTATGTTTGGAGGAAAAAGGGAGTGCTTGCAAGCCGAAGAACACCATCCCAACCGTGAAGAACGGGGGTGGCAGCATCATGCTGTGGGGGTGCTTTGCTGCAGGAGGGACTGGTGCACTTCACAAAATAGATGGTATCATGAGGAAGGAAAATTATGTGGATATATTGAAGCAACATCTCAAGACATCAGTCAGGAAGTTAAAGCTTGGTCCTAAATGAGTCTTCCGAATGGACAATGACCCCAAGCATACTTCCAAAGTTGTGGCAAAATGGCTTAAGGACAACAAAGTCAAGGTATTGGAGTGGCCATCACAAAGCCCTGACCTCAATCCTATTGAAAATATGTGGGCAGAACTGGAAAAGCGTGTGCGAGCAAGGAGGCCTACAAACCTGACTCAGTTACACCAGCTGTGTCAGGAGGAATGGGCCAAAATTCACCCAACTTATTGTGGGAAGCTTGTGGAAGGCTACCCGAAACATTTGACCCAAGTTAAACAATTTAAAAGGCAATGCTACCAAATACTAATTGAGTGTATGTAAACTTCTGACCCACTGGGAATGTGATGAAATAAATAAAAGCTGAAATAAATCATTCTCTACTATTATTCTGACATTTCACATTCTTAAAATAAAGTGGTGATCCTAACTGACCTAAGACAGGGAATTTTTCCTAGGACTAAATGTCAGGAGTTGTGAAAAACTGAGTTTAAATGTATTTGGCTAAGGTGTATGTATGTAAACTTCCGACTTCAACTGTATATTCCACAGGAGCTGAGCATGGTGGGCTGCTGTAGAAGCTACTGTGGTGGAACCATTTGGTACAAGCTGACTCACTGAGTCACACACAGAGGGTCAGAGAGAGAGAGAGAGAGAGCGAGAGAGAGAACAGCATTCTCCATGTTACACAGCTCAGAGGTGGGTGGACTGATAAGGAATATAATTAAAATAGCACATAAGGGCTAATAGGCCTAGTTCCTTTCTGTGTCTCACCAGCTTAGCATTAGTGAGTTTGAAACAGTAAAGCGTCGTGCTGCCTCCACCCTGGACTGGGCTCCAGCCGTTTCCCCTGCTGATTGTGAGTGTCAGACAGGCTAGTGGTGGCTCAGTCGAAGACCACAGCCATGGCAGCGCTACGCTATCACCAGCACACAGCAGTGGAGAAGAAGCCATCAGCACTTAGAGCCCAGGCTGTAGTCTAGAGTCTAATGCCGTAGAAATAGAGCAAACAAACAACTACTGACAAGAACCAGATGGCCTGCCATAAAAAATTAGGGCTTAAGAAAAAAAATAAAAAGCACCTTCTAGTCCCCCCACCCCATAAACTGTCCCCTTCCTCTTGTTTTGGCAGCAAATAAATGGCATCTCTCCACCCATATTCAGCCTCCCTCTTTCTTCCCTGTGGTGGAGGGAATTGAAGTGGGGCTTCTAGCAGATGCTTCTCTCTGGGTTGACAGTTCAGCGGAGGCTCCCTGCCTGGTCCTTATATCCCCACACCACCCTCCTTCAGCTCACCTCTTAAGGCATGAGGCTGGGGGGGGATTGACTAACTCCCACCTTCACTGACTTAATGACAACCCCAGATATCTGCCTCCTCCATCTTGGAGAAGAGAGAAAATGGGTCAAAGTATTGACACGGCCAAGAATCAAGTGAATACGGTCTGCTAGGCTATTAACGGTCCCATCTGTCACTGGCAGAGGCAGTGAGGTGGGAGAGGAACAGAAAGACAGGGTGGGTGGATGGTGAAACGAGACACGTAAAAGAACAGACAGGCCTAAGGCTTTTAGACAGAACAAACTGAATAGGGGAACAAGACAAATGGAAGAGAACTGAGAAAAGTGCTACCACCAATCAACACACTCTCCTACACTAAATGACAGACTGATATAGTAGTAGAGCTGTAAAATGCATGTGACCTATAGCTAAATCCCCAATCTCAGATGTAACATCTATGATGCATCTTGCCAAACTGTCGTAGCTGTAGGTGTTTTCCAAGGACAGCGACAGTAGCTACTGCACTGCAGAGTATGTCGCTCTGTCCTTCATCAAACCGTATTTGGCAGGGAGAGGAGAAGAGATAATTCCCTGTTAGACCCATTTTGAAGTACCCACTACCCTCCCTGCCCACCTGCCAATGACTATGCTTCCAGAGCCAGTCTGAGTCACCCCACAGTGACTGGCACATCTGGCCACATGGAGCTGGCTGTACTTGCTCCTGTTGATTCATTCAATGTGAAAGGGACAGACCATTATCAAGTTTCAAGTTTCAATGTCACATGCACAAGTACAGTGAAACCCAACAATGCAGTAATCAATATCAATGTAGTAGTAAAAATAACGTAAGGTAGAACAAAAACACACAATAAATTAGGGTCAGTTCCAATACCCTATTTACAATGTGCAGGGATACTGGTGTGATAGAGGTAGATATGCATAGGGATAAGGTGCTGTTGCCATACCAAGCAGTGATGCAGCCAGCCAAGATGCTGTCAATGGTGCAGCTGTAGAACTTTGAGGATTTGAAGGCCCATATCAAACCTTTTCAACCTCCTGAGGGGAAGAGGCGCCTTCTTCACGACTGTGCACTTGTGTGTGGACCATTTCAAGTCCATAGTGATTGACGCTCTCGACCCGCTCCACTGCAGCACCGTCGATGTGGATGGGGCCTCCACCCCAGGGTTGTCTGCGTTAGCCCTGTGTGCGGTAGCCCTGTCCTTTAGCTTAGTGCCAACCTCTGTGTTAATCCAGATTGATTGGGGAAGCAGCGAACCTTCACTGTGGGGACAACGTCGCCGATGCATTTCCTAATGAAGCCAGGCTGGCACTCTCAGCAACGCCTATGTTAATCAGAACAGTCTCAGCACAAAGGCCCATGAATTGCAATTAAACGTAGCCTACATGCAATCATTGATTTCCCTATTCACTGGCTTGATGTAATGTGCTGTTGCTGCATCAATTTGGACCTCAACACCATCAAGCTGTACACATGAACAAACCTCTGTGTCAAATGTTCTCTCCCTCCTCTACCCAGGTAGCAGCAGAATAATCAGGTAGAACCAGAGTATGCTCTCCTCCCTGCTCCCCATTGTTTGGAGCTGAATGTGTTGTTGTCCCTGTAACATACGGTGCAGTCCAGTACAGTCTATGACAAGGAGCCAGCCTGCCAGGCATCACTTCCAGCACAGACAGACCCAGCACAGAGCAGAGCATGACAGCATGGTGAGCACTGGCAGTCCATTCAGAATGGATGTCTGTGAACATGGCATAACAAAACATTCAAAAACATCATACAAATCAAATTAGGTAAGAATATATTTGCATAGTCCAGCTGCTAATTGAGATGACAAAACAGCGACCAGAAAAAAACATTATGTAGATCCAGATTTATACACAAGGAGGCTCTCTCTCTCTCTCTCTCGCTCATCTCCTTCAGCATGGTTTTATTTTGGGTCACCATGTGCTTTTGGGTGACCCAGATTAGAAACATGATTGGTAACACAAGGTGCTGAACAACATCAGAACTCTCCTCCTTTTGTACTGCAACATCCCATATTATATGGAATTACACAAAATAGATTTGACGTCACAGTAGTCAGCCACCATGTCAACAACCTGTGATGCATTTCGACCTGGGAAATCCTAATATCGAGCTCCCTTTATCACTGGTCCGCTTAGCACAGCTTGAAATGAATCAGTAACCCAGCATAGAGTGAGGTCTGTTCCTGCAGCCAGCCCCACGGTGGATACTCGTGGCCAGAGAGATCCATCTGCTAGAGACCCTATGCTTAGTAGCATGGCCACCGGCTGCACAAGCCCAGGCCTTGCCTCATGGCTCTGCTCTGCTTGGCAAGATCCAAGGAGGCCACGGCCAGCAGCTCTGTAGCTTACATTACAGGCAGGGGATCTCCATCATTAATTCATTGCCACCATACAGTAGCACCATACTATACTGTATGGGAGAGCTGTGAGGGCACAGGCAGCCAGCTAGATCATGATGACTGAAAATCCTTCAAGCTAGAATCCTTAATTGAAACAATAACAAAGCGTCCTCTCAGCCCGTTTGGCTAAAAGCTAGGGGATGGGGCTGGGGAAATGTAACCACTCAAATTCATAGACAAAGCTATGGACCCCAGAAAGAGTAGCTGCTGCTATTGCAACAGCTAATGGGGATCCTAATAAAATACTAAGGACTGATCAAATGTATAATTTTCAACAGTGTTTGTTTACATTTACGTTGTTTACAAACATTGGCATAAAACAAGCTTATATTTTGGGTTCTGATGGGGTACGACAGTTGAACTAAGTTCATGAGGCATTTATTTATAAGTTATATTCTTCAAGAATCAATGGGTATACATAATTAATCCTAATCCATAATTAGTCCTAAAATGTGTGAAGCAACTAAGGATCCTAGCTTTAAGGATCATGTGAGATGCTTATTTTCCCCAGTGCCATAAAATGATTGAATTGAGTGCTCTGATTGCAGAGCGGAGTTAGCCCCCTTATATTGATATGGTATTTTTTATTTTTATTTAACCTTTATTTAACTAGGCAAGTCAGTTAAGAACAAATTCTTATATACAATGACGGCCTACACCGGCCAAACCCGGACGATGCTGGGCCAATTGTGCGCTGCCCTATGAGACTCCCAATCACGGCCGGTTGTGATACAGCCTGGAATCGAACCAGGGGGTCTGTAGTGACGCCTCAAGCACTGAGATGCAGTGCCTTAGACCGCTGCGCCACTCGGGAGCCCGAGTATTCTCCTCGCAGGCTGAGGTGGCCGGCTCTGCAGGCAGGCTCTGATCAGGCTTTAGGCTAATCAACAGCAAAACACAGACACACAGTCAATTCTAATCTAAATGCAAAGTAGGACTCTTATTCCCCCTGGCCTTGCCTTTCTTCTCTTCCTCCTTGCTGCTCCCCACATCACAGCCTTTTAGGGGCCGAGGCTGGGTGATGTGGATGGTGTCTGACAGTGAAATATGGCCTGTAATTTCAGCATGCTTCAGATGTCTCTGTTCTGTTCTGGGAGGAGAGCTAGCAGGGACCTGATGATGGCAGCGGGCAGAGAGAGAGAGGCTGCTGAGGTGCCTGCCTGGTCCCAGATCAACAGGCCTGGCGGGGGTCAACGCCTCCACTGTTAAGCTCAGTGTGATCTCCAGCAGTAAGGGCCTACCTGCCGCTGCCTGAGAGACCTGCTGGGACCAGCAGCAGCCAGCACCACACAACCTCAGCTCACCCCTCCAGAGAGATTGGATGGTTATGATTTCAGATGCAGAGGTTTTCTGAGTTAAGGGATGTTGTGCTGGCTTCAATAGGTACCTGATTAGAAACCGGACCTCAACCCACCTATATTTCCCACTATGATTATCAGGTGAATTTCTGCCTCTGGTCAAACTAAAGCTGATAGAAATCTCCATAATGAAAAGCTAATAGAGATGAGACAGAAAGGTAGGTTAAGCTTTCAGAGTGCAACTCATAAATAAACATAATTTTTAAAAAGATAAAATACTTTGCAGAATACATACCTAAATGCTCAACTACTCAATAAGTCAACTGGCAAGAGGCCATGAAGTTGGTATTCCATACAATACTAAATAGAAAACCTGGCAATTTCTGGAACAGTTTTCAAGTTAAGTAACTTTCTAGACCTTTTATCAACATCATGGTAATTTAATAAGTATCTCTGACTGTTGACATATTGGACTATCGAATGAGGATATGATTCTACCAAGATGAATATAAGGGGTGTACAGGGATACACACACACACACACACAAATAAGTGGTAAAAAACAACAACCTGAAAAACATCAAAACAGTCACAGCATCTGTGACAGTCAGCGGTGACTTTTAGTTCTTCCAACCAGCAATATCATCAACCAAGTTACTCATGTTCAAAATAAACATTGTCAAAGCATTCGATTAGTCGAGTCTCTAATTACGCTATCTTTAATAACACATTTGATGGGGCGGCAGGTAGCCTAGCCTAGCCTAGCGGTTAAGAGCGTTAAGCCAGTAACCGAAAGGTCACTGGTTTAAATCCCCGAGCCGACTAGGTGAAAAATCTGTCGATGTGCCCGTGAGCATGGCACTTAACCCTAATTGCTCCTGTAAGTCGCTTTGGGTAAGAGCGTCTGCTAAATTACTAAAATGTCAATGTAAAATGTACATAAATCAATGTTTTTTTTACTATCAAAAGTATAATCTGACAGCTTTGCAAACTGAGTAGTTTTCCATAATTAGCCATTAAACTGTCTACTTAGCAAATACAACAAGTAAAGATAATTTAATAATATAACATGACCAATATCCAGTTAAAGGTTGGCAACAAGCTTAGGTCAAAAACGTTGTCAGTTGTCTGCTACTGTTAGCGTACAAGCTAGAATTCTACATTGTCTTCTGTCATGCTGCTGAAGACCGCACGGCATTATGCAGTTCCTCGCGCTAGTTACAAAGCAAGCTATTTTACAGGACCCAGCCTAAATAATTGTTAATTACCTGTATTTTTTTCCTGGAAAACCTTTATAGTACATTTTCCATCTTCAGTCATTCACCTGTCCAGCTCCAGCCGTAGCGTGTATAATGCCCAAAGTGATTTGATAGTAGGCAGAGGCACAATTTCTCTAGGCAGTTTTCAGTGTGCGCGCAAATTCCCACCCATCTGTCCCTATTGGTTGATATACTTGTCAATCAAGCCTAGAGCACTATGTTGTAGGCATAGCAACCATTTGAAGGCGGGTCCTCTAGAATTTCTATGCGACAATTGGATGAAGAAAAAAAATCTAAACATAGCGCACACCTGTTAGTGAGTGGCTGTGTTGGCCAATGTGGGCTTCAATCAATAAAACTGACGTATTGAAAGCCAGATTAAAGGGGGTTTAATAATATATTCACATTTCCTCATAGATAAAATGTGTAATGTCATTTGTCTTTCAAGGTCATGCAAGATCATAGAAGAAAATGTAACAAACATTTAATTTTCCCCCTCCCTTCGACATACTTTCCTCATAAATAAAGCTGCATAGTAAAATATTTATACAAAAGCAACACCCAAAGGTGGTCTTCTCAATCATTACCCTTCTTTACCAAAACATTGGGTCATGTAACAAAAACACACATAAGAATGAAGGAGAGACTGCTCGTCTTCAGTATGGACATTGTCCATGGACTGCATAGAGAAACTGACATGCTGGCCATTTGGGTCACAAAACACCAAAGGACCATTATTTACAGTCAATAGAGGGACCCTGATATGCCACACATCTCTACAGGTGTAAACGTGGGGCAAAACACAGTCTCAGTGTTTCATGTCACTACAAGGATAAAGCAAGTCGCCTGTGGCTGTGGCTGTGGCTGTGGCGGTAGTGTCACTGCTGTGCTGGGACATGGACTGGGGTAGCAGTGAGGGGTGATTCAGTGTTGGAGGTGGTGATGGTTAAGCTCAAGGTCTAGTCAGGGTCAGGGTGGCTTTTGCGGTGGTGAGCGGTGCCGGCTGCAGACCTCTCAGGGGAACTGGTCTGTCGTCAATGTTGTGCTTTTTCATGTGCAAGTCGAGAGAGGCCTTCTGACAGTATGTGAAGCCACACACACCTCACACCTGGTAGAGAGGGAGAGAGGAAGAGGGATGAGGCAAAAGTATAGATAGATGGACACTCATAAGGACCACAACCCATATACCAAACAAGTTTTGACTATACTTTCAGTATAAAATAAACTGAAAAATAGTCCTTGAGTGCTGTTGCTATGACAAAGAACACTCACTGAATAGGCTTCTCTCTGGTGTGGATGCGGTGGTGGATGTGAAGGTGACTGTTGGTGCGGAACACCCAGGCACAGAACTCACAGATGTCCCTCTGATCTCAAGACAAAAGCCAGAGTACGCAGGGCCCTACAAATAGCTACTCAGACAATCATTACTTCAGCATGTTGTGCAGAAGCAAAGGATGATAATAAAGAATCATAACACGGAAATGTTGAGCCTCATTGTTGTGCAGCTTCTCATGCTCCTTCAGGTGCTTCTTGAAGTCCCACAGGGAATGTGAGAGCAGGTGAATGTCCTCTGGTGGAAGTGCTGGTACTTCATATGATGCTGAACAAAAGGTGAGATAAGATAGAATGGAGTTTAGTGTATTTGACCTTGCGGTGGCTGTAATAAGTAGATAGTGAGTGGTCATCTTCAGCTATGCTGCTGGACTCACATTGAGGTACTGCCGAGAGGAGAAGATTTTCCCACAGCCGTTAAACTCACAAGGCAAGATTGCCTTTGGTGTTATTTTTCTGGGAATATTAAATTAGGATGACAATAAACAGATAGAAATAACTTAGAAGTGACACTGCACAAACCTTTTATTTTTGCTGACAATCTGAGGAACATTGTCAGCTGGCTCCTCTTTAAAATCCAAACCAAATGAAAGAAAATGAATTTAATTTATTGCACAGTATGTGCAGATAGGAATCCTTTGAACTATGTTCACTTTCATGACTTTCATCCCAGCGTCTTTGACTTGAAAATCCATTTAATGGTTTTAATCAAATAATCCAATCTGGCAAATTAAGGAAGTGTGAGAAAATACCTTCAAAAGCCACCTGTTGCTATCAAAAGCCACCTCCTCCTCGTCCCTGACCTACAGTATCTCTCTCTGCCTCTGACTGAACTGCTTTCCTCTGTGTCCCCTTCAGCTTCTCGCTGGTACTACAATTAGATCACCACGAAGTGCAACAAAGTGGTGATACAAGTTTCCAACATGTTCATTCACATTTTATTTCCTTCTTGGATTATTAAATAAATGGTACCATTAAAACCTGCTGGGTGAAGGGATATCCTTCTCTCCAGTGATGTTGCCGGGGTCCTCATCATCGTCATCATCATCATCATCACATTACATAGCCAGCCAGCCACCTATGGAAACATACAATTAGATCACCATGAGGTTGGGTTGATTATGATTTGAACAACAAATACATGCAAGGAGTTGTGCATGAAACAAACTATTCAACTTTACCAATTCTGCCATGACTGCAAGGACTCTGCTGGCATTGTGTAATTTCCTGCAGCTGAAGCTTCCTGTGCATTATCATTTCCTGGATATGAGCAAACAACATGGTGATGTTGAGTCAACACTGGCATTTCAGAACTCTTGAGTTGCTCTCTATCTATTTTATTCATTTTAAGGTTAACTCTCTATTGATGAAATTAATTTGATATGTATTTTGTTTTCATGTTATAATCTTGTGTTATTTTGTTTTTATGTATATTCATGAGGACCACAATGGACATATTTTTTTTACTTTTTTGTGTCATCTTCTATGATTTTAATGGCATTGTACTGTATCCACATGTGTGGTTGTATTGTGTTTTAAAATTGTCAAAAAAGATTGCCTCCTCTTGGGTCATCACGGGCCTTGCTCCATCACAACCCCTGGTCCTCCTCACAGTAAGACAACGCCTCCCTGTGACACTCTCCTTTTTGAGTCCTTCGCTCCTCTCCTCCCTTTGGACCTAGTTGAACCTGAAGGGGTAATATCCCACTCCACATTGCCTCGTTTCCCCTCTCCCCCCCTCTTATTCACAGCCACTCTGACTAGTTTGCCATGAGAGCAGATGTCCTCCCTCACAGACATAACACACACACAGTTCTGCCTCTAACACATCAGAAGATTCTCTCATTTCCTTCCCCTGAGTACATGGGGGGAGGACCTCCTCTGGAGAGCTACAGTACTTCACACCTGTCTGAGATGGTAAGTGCTTTGGGCCGCTTCTCTGCTTCACTACCTCTCCCTTTGACTGGCTCGTATCTGTGCCAGCTGCCTACTTCTCCATGGTAGTGGAGGGTGGGTGGGAAGGTGCACTGTTGCCGGTGAGTGTGGACCAATAGGACATTTCTCTTGATGTCACCAAGGCAGCCATGTCCCCTTTCATACTGCCTAGTGGACCAAACACACTTTTACATCATCATTAAAAAAACAGGCTTATATGTACAGTACATATTCACATTAATGAAACTGTATATTGTATGTTATTGGGAAAATGTCTTTACCTTAGCATTTGGCACACACTTTAGAAAAATAGCTGAAGAGAAGAGAGGGGGAAGACATTTTGCTAAATGAATAATAGCCAACATAATATTACTCCAATGTTATAGTTGTGTAATAAAGATGAGCCATGAAGATTGTATGCCGTTTGTTACCAGTGCCACCATCAGCCCAGTCTGGTCTGAGGTCTTACCTCTGCAGTAGGTAGTGGATGAGCTCAGAGTGCAAAGAGAAGCCCAGGTGGTTCTTCAGCTGACCCCAGGTCTGCAGGCATGACCCCAGATGCACACAAGACTTACTCCGCCGAGCGTCTATCTCCGTGCGCCGCTCCCGTCTGACGGCTTTTGGAGTAGACGCCGACGCCATGGTCAGAGGGTCACTAACCTGGTCCATCAGCCCTGGCATGAACAACAGGAAAGAGGCCAACGTTACAATGTATATCAATGCTAACTTTACACTGGCCACTATAGTTATTGCAATACCATATAATTTCTTTGTGTCAAAATATTACAGCTTAAATTATTTCCCCCATCCTTTGACACCTACATTTACATTTTTACATTTTTGTCATTTAGCAGTTGTTGTTATCCAGTGCGACTTACAGTTAGTGCATTAATCTTAAGATAGCTAGGTGGGACAACCACATATCATAGGCATAGTGAGTACACTTTTCCTCAATAAAGTAGTTATCAGCAAAGTCAGAGCTAGTAAGCAAAATTACAGAAGATCCCAAGACACAACACAAAAGAGCTGTAAACTGAAATGTCTGAAACAGTCATGATGACTACATTCATGTGATAATGTATTTTGGAAGATTAACTGTGTACATTTATATTTAATTATATAATACATTTGCTGATTCTAAAAGAGGGGGCGACCTATAGAGATAGATATAGGACTCTAGTGCCCAAAAGCCGTTTTAGCATGGGCAGCATCATTGAGGACTTTCATCCATTTTGTCAACTGGGTGGAACTTCCGATGGGTTAAGGAAGAATCACATAATTCCATCCAAGTCATCAGGAGGGATCTGCCAATGAATTATACTCGTGAGCAACATAACAAAATATGAAAATATTCACATCCAACTTATCAAGTGTAGGACAGAAGAACGTATCAAAGAAAAAATGAATGTCCTCAACTCTGGTGTGCTCCCATGGCGATTTAATCAGACGCACAAAAAATACAACGTTTCCATCCGAGTTGGATCTTCGTCAGGTCATACACCACTGTTAAACACACCTACTTAAATAACGGCCAGAGCCCTCAAACTCAACTCTGGACGTCGAAGCCAGTTCCACTGCGTTTTTTCATTGTTCCCCTCTAATCAGAGACTGATTTAAACCTGAGACACCAGGTGGGTGCAATTAATTATCAGGTAGAACAGAAAACCAGCAGGCGCCAAACCTCGTAGGGTAAGCCTGCTCTAGAGGTATACATCCGGTAACTTGAATACATCCAGTCAATTGAATACATATAATACATTAACATCACAATAAATATTACTCAGTCAGTGGCGGCCCGTCATTCAGGGCAGGTGGGGCAGAGCACCACCTGTTTTGAGCCCCACCTGTTTAGCTAAAACATATCTTTTTTAAATAAATAATTTTGTTGCCTGTTTTGAATGTTATTTTGGCATTAATACGTGTCACATATCAGTTTGCAAACAATGTAAAAAATAAATATTGAGTTAATAAAGCCGTATACAAACATGGTCTCCTTTTTGCTTTCTTGAGTAAGGCAGCTCCAAAACGCAGGTGTTTCAGCCTAGCTCAGTGCTTTCAGTGGTGGAGGGGCAGCCAGCGGAAAATACAGAGCGTAGGGGTTGGTAATCTTCTCTAGTTATTAGCTCAGTGTTCTGTCACTCATGGGGACATTACGTCACCCAGTGTTGCCATGTTCATGGTTTTCCCACTAAATTCGGCTACTTTGAAAATGATGTCGCTTGTGAAAAATGTATTGGTCACGGGTTGCAGGTTTTTGGGCTATTTCTAAGTTAAACCGCGGCCGCCATTGCATTTCTCTTAAAAAATATATATTTCACTGTGACCTGCTGCTGACTGTCAGGCAGTGAGGCAGGCTGTTGTTGAGTAAGTGAGTGGTGGGGAGGGCCGGAAGAGTGGGTGTGAGTGTGTGTGTGTGTTTGTGTTGAGAGAGCACTACTGAGTCACGTGAGCGAGAGGAGAGAGAGCAGCATGTTCGCAGTTGTGACAACTTTACCCTTACACAGCCTGGAGGTGTGTTGGGTCATTGTCCTGTTTAAAAACAAATGATAGTCCCACTAAGCCCAAATCAGATGTGATGGCGTATCGCTGCAGAATGCTGTGGTAGCCATGTTGGTTAAGTGTGCCTTGAATTCTAAATAAATCACAGACAGTGTCACCAGCAAAGCATATACATACATACATATATATATGTATATATATATATATACAGATACAGTTGAAGTCGGAAGTTTACATACACTTAGGTTGGAGTAACTAAAACTTGTTTTTCAACCACTCCACACATTTCTTGTTAACAAACTAACAGAAATTGAATAATGTGTACCTGAACAAAGCAGACATGCTTAATGGGATTGAGATCTGGGCTCTTCGCTGGCCATGGCAGAACACTGATATTCCTGTCTTGCAGGAAATCACGCACAGAACGAGCAGTACGGCTGCTGGCATTGTCATGCTGGAGGGTCATGTCAGGATGAGCCTGCAGGAAGGGTACCACATGAGGGAGGAGGATGTCTTCCCTGTAACACACAGCGTTGAGATTGCCTCCAATGACAGCTCAGTCCGATGATGCTGTGACACACCGCCCCAGACCATGATGGACCCTCCACCTCCAAATCGATCCCGCTCCAGAGTACAGGCCTCGGTGTAAAGCTCATTCCTTCGTCGATAAACACGAATCCGACCATCACCCCTGGTGAGACAAAACCGCAACTCGTCAGTGAAGAGCACTTTTTGCCAGTCCTGTCTGGTCCAGCGACGGTGGGTTTGTGCCCATAGGCGACGTTGTTGCCGGTGATGTCTGGTGAGGACCTGCCTTACAACAGGCCAACAAGCCCTCAGTCCAGCCTCTCTCAGCCTATTGCGGACAGTCTGAGCACTGATGGAGGGATTGTGCGTTCTTGCTGTAACTCAGGCAGTTGTTGTTGCCATTCTGTACCTGTCCCGCAGGTGTGATGTTCGGATGTACCGATCCTGTGCAGGTGTTCTTACACGTGGTCTGCCACTGCGAGGACGATCAGCTGTCCGTCCTGTCTCCCTGTAGCACTGTCTTAGGCGTCTCACAGTATGGACCTTGCAATTTATTGCCCTGGCCACATCTGCAGTCCTCATGCCTCCTTGCAGCATGCCTAAGGCACGTTCACGCAGATGAGCAGGGACCCTGGGCATCTTTCTTTTGGTGTTTTTCAGAGTCAGTAGAAAGGCCTCATTAGTGTCCTATGTTTTTATAACTGTGACCTTAATTGCCTCAAGCTGTTTTTTTTTTTTCTGTTTTTTTTTGTGTGTATTTTACCCCCTTTATCTCCCCAATTGGTAGTTACAGTCTTGCCCATCGCTGCAACTCCCGTACGGACACGGGAGAGGTGAAGGTCGAGAGCCATGCGTCCTCCGAAACACAACCCAACCGAGCCGCACTGCTTCTTGACACAGTGCCCGATTAACCCGGAAGCCAGCCGCACCAATGTGTCGGAGGAAACACTGTACACCTGGTGACTGAGTCACTGTGCACTGCGCCCGGCCCGCCACAGGAGTCGCTAGTGCACGATGGGACAAGAACATCCCCTACCCTGGACGACGCTGGGCCAATTGTACGCCGCCCCATGGGTCTGAAAGACAGGATCCTGAAAAAGGGATATGTTTATATACATATCCTTTAAAAATATATATTTTCCTTTATTACTTTCCAACCCCACCACCCCTCACCTAATTGGAGTAAACTAGTGAACAACAACGCTTAGGCCTCTACATCCAGCTTAAACATACTATATACATTTTATGGACGCAGTCAACTTTACAATTTTTTATTTTGTTTGTTTTTACTCCTGAACTTCCTCTACCCTCAACTTCTCTGATCATTTTCATGATGTCCATCCGGTTTGCTTCTATATGCCATATCTTTCAAACTGTGCTCTTTCACAAAAGTTCTCAACCTATAACCTATGTACTTATTATGGAAACAATATGTTTTACATTAGTTATTTTGTTGTTATTAGTTGTTATTAGTCCTAACCTTCAGCTCCATTCAACTCCTCCCATCTATCTCTTAACACCATCCATATTGGATTTCTATTTGCCATATATCTGTACTGTGATGTTTCACAAAAGTTCTGAACCGTTTTTGCTAAAAGTATTATTATATTATTGATCGATTGACTATTACTTTTCAGATCACCCAGTAGTGCTATCTGCAGGTTAGCTCCAGGTAAATATTGCAATCCTTCAGCCATTCTGGGACCTGTGACCATAAACAAGCTACAAATGGACAGTACCAAAACAAATTATCTAATGATTCTGTCTCTTCGCAGCAAAATCTGCAGAGCTGGGAAGATTGTTTCCCCCATATACAGTTGAAGTCGGAAGTTTACATACACTCGTTTTTCAAGCACTCCACAAATTTCTTGTTAACAAACTATAGTTATGGCAAGTCGGTTAGGACATCTACTTTGTGCATGACACAAGTAATTTTTCTAACAATTGTTTACAGACAGATTATTTCACTTATAATTCACTGTATCACAATTCCAGTGGGTCAGAAGTTTACATACACTAAATTGACTGTGCCTTTAAACAGCTTGGACATTTTTACATTTTACGTCATTTAGCAGACGCTCTTATACAGAGCGACTTACAGTTAATGAGTGCATACATTATATATATATTTTTTTTCTCCCATACTTGCCCCCAGTGGGAATCGAACCCACAACCCTGACGTTGCAAACGCCATGCTCTACCAACTGAGCTACATCCCTGCCGGCCATTCCCTCCCCTACCCTGGACGACGCTGGGCCAATTGTGCGCCGCCCCATTGACAATTCCAGAAAATGATGTCATGGCTTTAGAAGCTTCTGATAGGCTAATTGACATCATTTGAGTCAATAGGAGGTGTATCTGTGGATGTATTTCAAGGCCTACCTTCAAACTCAGTGCCTCTTTGCTTGACGTCATGGGAAAATCAAAAGAAATCAGCCAAGACCTCAGAAAAACATTGTAGACCTCCACAAGTCTGGTTCATCCTTGGGAGCAATTTCCAAACGCCTGAAGGTACCACGTTCATCTGTACAAACAATAGTACGCAAGTATAAAACCATGGGACCACGCAGCCATCATACCGCTCAGGAAGGAGACACGTTCTGTCTCCTAGAGATGTACATACTTTGGTGCAAAAAGTGCAAATCAATCCCAGA